CTGATTCCAAAAGGGCTTAGCCACAGGCAGCCGGGGAGCCAAGAGCCTGTTTACAAAAATGCTCGTTTTACACGTCCAGGGTTCACAGACTGCAGGCAAGTCACTCGCTCCTGTGTCGCCAGGCTGCCCCCAGACACCAGTTCGGCTGAGCGGGGGCTGGGGCTCCGGAAGTTGGGGGGCAGCCCAGCCTCACCCCGGTGCCCCGAGCCACCCTGTGGAAGGAACGTTGCCTCATGCACTTTCCGTTCCCTCCGTATTCGATGGGGAACCAAAGGAGATCAAGAGCGAGGGGACGGATTCTTCAGGTCAGGGGCGGTGCGGGCAGGGAGCACCCAGGGTCCTCTAGAATCCGGGGGGGGGGTCTCTCCTATCCAAACCACCACCCCAGCAACGAGGAGCTAGCTTTGTGTGTGTTCTGTGGTCGCACATACAGAACCTAAGCCTTCCCGCCCGCACCACGTCTCCGTGTTCAGCCCCACAGCACGGGGCACGTCTCCACGGCTCTGCACCCATCGCCACCATCCTCCCCGGATCATGTCCACCTGCCCAAACTGGAACTCCGGAGCGACGTTTTGAAAAGTCTCTCATTCCGCAGATTTTAATGGAAACCCCATATGGTTTCTGGAGGGGAACAAAGATATGTCGGGGTCTAAAAGGACTCATCCTGGTGGAGCAACGGCAGAGACAGGAGGCCCTCAGCCGAGACTGTGGTGAGTCCTTAAGGACACAGGGGACAGCTGGGTCACATGCAGGGGGCAGAGGAATGCGCCAACAGGACACCCCTGGGCCAGCCCCCTGCAGGCGGGGAACATCTGCATCTTCAAAGGGAAGGTTTTTTTCCTGGGGTCTGACTGGGCCTGTGGAACAGCGGGTCGCCCGTGGGCTGCGGACGGAGGGCTGGCTCTGAGGAAGTCCCGGCCTCCCAAACCGCAGCGTGGGGACAGAGGTATGTGAAGCATGTGTGACTCTCCTCAGAAGGCACCCCGGCCCCCGGTCTACCAACCCCCTGGACCGACTTCAGACAAATTACAATCCTGCCCACAAGCACTTTGGTGGGAATCTTGTTTTCCCTCTTCCATAGAGAAAGCAGATTTACTGACAGATTAGGGAGCAGGGGGCTGGGCTGAGGGGAGGTCACCCAGGAGCACAAGCCTTTCGGTGAAGCATTAAATCACCCGTTAATGAGGTGCCGATATTCCTCAGCACTGGGGAGAGGGGACAAGTTCAAGAGAAACCTCCGGAAGGCCTGAGGGGCTGCTAGGCCTGGCTCCAGCATACACCCCCCCCCCCCCCCCCCCCGCCAGGCTTCTGGAGAACTTGACCTGTGGGAGGGCTCCTCAATCAGCAGTTCTCACGTAATCCCTAGGAGGGGGTGCAGCAGGGGAAACTGAGGCATGGAGCAGTGGCCTGTCTGAGGTCACGTCGGAGGGAGTACTGGCTCTTAGTGCTCCCACAAGATACAGTTGCTTCTCCCTGTGTCCCAACATACTGGGTGACTTTGCGCACATGGGTTACTACCAAGGACCCGTATTCATACGGCACCTTCTCACGGGTTACTTGCTCGGTTTTTACAACTGTATACAGTTGGAACAACAGATAGGTTTGCACTCACTTCACAGAGCAGGACACTGAGGTCTGAGGCTGTTTGGTTTGTGTTAGGGGCCGAAATGTATGCCTCCCCAAATTCCTATGTCCTAACCCTCAGAACCTCAGATGTGACTATTTAGAAACAGCATCTTTAAAGGTGCAATTAAGTTAAAATGAGGTAGTTCAGGTGGACCCTAATCCAAAGTGACTGGCGTCCCCATACACAGACGCACAGGGAAGCGGCTGTCCTCAAGCCAAGGAGAGAGGCCTCCGGAGAAGCCCTCCCCGCGGCACCTTGACCTTGGACTTCCAGCCTCCACAGGGTTAGACGCCCCCAGCGGTGGTATTTGTTACGCAGCGCGTCTGCCTATGCTTTGCTCCCAGTTCACAGCGTGGGTGCAGAAGGCCGGTCCTGCTTCTCCCCACATGCCCCGCTCCAGGGTAAGGATCCCAGCTTCCCTTCCCGCCCCATCACAGGGAGTGTGGATGGGTGCAGGGGATGGTGCTTTGAGCGTGTGGTTGCTACCGGGTGGAGTGGCGCTTACCTTAACGATGGTAAAATCCAGCTCAACCCGCCAATGTGTGGAGCAGTGTAGTAGGCTGGTTGGGAGCAGAGAGCTCAGCCAGATCCGGGTTTGAATCCTGTGTGTGACCTCAGGCAAGTTGCTTAAACTGTCTCATTTGCAGGGGTGATGATAGGAGTATTATAATCTCGGGATTAGTGTACGTAATAAGTAACCTTACAGAGCTCGATAAATGCTCAGTGGTCATCATCACCATCAGCAGGTAAAGGGGTGTGGGACGCTAGAGGCCTGGGGCCAGTCCAGACCTGGGTGGAGGGTTGAGGGGCCAGCTGAGCAGGGACAGGGTCCTAGCCGCGGGCAGGGCCCACACAAGCAGAGACTAGCGTGGCTGTCTTCACACAGAAAGTCCCACGTCCTGGAACAAACTGGCAGAGAAATGAAAAAACAAGAGTATGATTTCCTACAGAGGCTCTTCCCAACTCAGACACAGTGACGGTGTATTTAAAAGTTGATTCAATCCGGGCTTAGAGATGGGAACTGGTTTGCTGTCAGTGTGTGGTGGTTTCTTCAAGTTCATGATCTGAGCCTTCTCAGGAGGGAGGGTCTGGATGGAGAGGGTCTGCACCTGGCAGCCCTCAGTCCCAAGGTGCCAGGGGCTTCTGGGGTTCCACTCTCTGGGCTGCAGGGAGTGGACTGGGGCATTCGGTGCAGGGCGCACCCCTCACGGACCCCACGTACAAATGGCAGGATGGCAGCCCCCTCGCCATCCTGTGCAGGTGGATGGTCGCCCAGTGGTGTAACCTCTGCTTAGAGGGGTCCCCCAGTAGACTCGTGGGTCCCCTATGCCTTTGCCACCCAGATCTTGGCAGGCGTTGCCCAGGGTGAACTGTGAGAGCTCCTGATGACTCACCTTTTCCACTTCTGTCTCAGTGGAGGACGTGGGGCGTAGGGGCGGAACCTAGGAAATAGGGCAACTGCACCCTCACAGTCCACCAGGACGACCATCCCACTCTTCCTCACTCAGAACCCTCAGCAGAATCCAACCCCGGAGATTTCTGGCTTTCTTTCACGGACCCTGTTGCCCTCCCTAAACTCCAGCTTCCACCTCTACCACCCCCAGCCTGTCCACAGCTCAATTCCAGTTTACGTATTAATCCCAGGGTTCAAGTACTTTCCCATAGGCGTCCTGAGGGAGTGGCCAGCCTGAAGGGAACCTTCCCAGTGGGGAATCCTTGCCCCTACTGGGAAAAGAACACACAAGATGTGTGGTGAGGAGGGGGTGGGAGCCTGCGTGGCCAGTCAAGAAGCAAACTGTGGGGGGCAGGGGACCCCGGGACCACAGAGTGTGGGGGTTTGGAAAGCGGCACCACAAGCTTGAGCCAATGGTCAGAACTCTTGGGGACAATTCATGCTGCTGCAGTCCCCGATCCCTCTTCCAGCCAGGGCCCTCGGTCCCAGTGCTGTGGGGAATAGACAGCCATCTTTGGGGTCCCCACCTCCACGAGGGGCCCAGCCCACAGGAGAGGACCTACGTGGAAGGAGCATCTCCATCTCCATCTGAACAGCCAGGGTCAGTCCAGGCTGCTCCATGGTTCAGAATTCTGGTGGGGGGGAGGGCCTTCAGGCAGGGGGCCACTTCTAGTGTCCAGCAGGTTCTCACCCTCTCATGGGGGAGGGGAGGCTGGACACTGAAGTGTGGGTGGGGAGGTGTCTCGAGCGAGGACCCTCTTATTCCCAGAAACCCCACTACCTTCCAGGACAGGCTCCTCCCTGCCCCCCCCCGCCCCTGGGGCAGTGCTCCCCTCCATTGAGCCCACCCCCAACACGGTGGACCCGGTGTCCTGGAAAGGGCCCAGGCCACAAAGAAGTTCCATGGATTCACCCAGGGGGGAGAAGGGAGCCCAGCCCCTGAGTCTTCCCTGACTCATGAGCAGGCTGGGGGCTGGAGTGATGTGCTACACTCCCTTCAGCCCCCCGAAGGCTCCTTCCAAGTCTCCTCCTCCATTCCCTCCGAGTCCACGTGTTCGAGCATCTTCCAAGCCCCCAGTACAGGATATAAGGGGCAATGTGTCCCTCGGGTCCAGCCCATCCTTTAAGGGGGGCCTTCCCGGTAAACCCCAAGGCCAAGATCAGCCGGAGAGCCAGACTCATGAACCCTGGGTTAGGCTCTTGGCTGCAGAGCAGACCACATGGCCTGGCAGCCCCAAGTTGCTGAGTCAGGGAGAGGCACAGCCAGGAGGGAGCGGTGGAGGCGGCCCCAGCGGCAGACCCCCGGGGCCTGCCCCCACCCCCAGCACTTCTTTCCCCTTCGCCCTAACTGCCTAACTGGTCCGGGGCTCCGGGCCAGAGGAAGCACCTGGGCCCTATCCTGGCTCCACCGGAAGCTTGCTCTGGGACCAGAAGCTGCCCTTCCCCATTCCGGGCATGGGCTTTTCAAGAGTGAAGGGAAAGGGTTCGACTCCGTAACCTTTAGATCCCTTCCAGCTCTCGTGTTCCCCCATGGGTGGCTCACAGTGCCCCCTACCGCCCTTCCCGGTCCCCCCAGCTCCCTGCCCCAAGTTCTGGCAGCCTCCTGCCCAGGGCCTGGGGTGCCCCACCGGCTGCCCCATGTCAGGGAGGGGCCGGGAAATCACTCAGGCCAGCTCAACTCTCCATTTCTCTGATTTTTATTCCCTAGGGTCTGAGCCCTAGGGTGGGGGACGGAAGGGGCTGCCCCCGACCCCCAGGCATGCCCGGGTCCTGGCGGGCTAGTAGTAGTTGACCACTCTGCGGAGCGACTGGATGCGCGCGTTGTGGGCCTCCCAGTCGGAGCAGTTGCGGAAGTCACCCCGCTCCACCAGGTACATGCGGCCGCGGTAGTTGGGCTCCTCGTACAGGACCCACCTGGGGTCAGAGGGAGGCCAGGTGAGCCCGGGCGGCTGAGCGCGGAGAGAAGACCTCCCACCAGGCCGCCCCTCTCCTGGCCCAGCTGGGGTCTGGAGCCTGAGCTGGGGGGTGGAGGTGTGGGGGGAGAGCGGCCCACAGCTGCCCCTGACTTGTCCCACCGCCTTTTCTCAGGCCGGCCTCTCTCCTCACTTCTGATGCTCCCTATCCCCTCAGAACGGAGAGAAAACAGCTTTTTCACCGTGGGAAGCAAAGCGGGGCTACACGCCCGGATCTGGCTGCTGGGGTCCCTCCGGGCCCACGCCATGGTGTGTTCTGACTATGTCTTTGCAGTGAACCCCCACTGTCGCCCGAACAGTTCTGGCCCTCCCACCCCAAAGCGCTCTGCTGTCGAAGGAACTTTCTCCCCGCTGAGACACAGACTCTGAAATTATGAGCCCATCCAGCCCAAGGCCACACAGCCCACTGAGTCGCCTGCTTAGGGCAGCTTCCCCAGCGCTCCCCTCTCCTGTCACCATGGGCCCCCTTCTCCATCCTGACTCCGCATCTGGTACCTGGTGTGGTCTGCACAAGGGTCAGGGGTCAGGAATGCTGAGAGAGGCCCAGCGTGTGAGCTGCAGGGTCGCTCAGGGCCGACCTGGTTTATCCCAGCCTTCCCACACCCCCAGCCTCCCTGCGCCCTGACTTCCACTGTGCCCGAACTGCCCCCTCCCCGGCCCCCAACCTCCCCACACCCATGGGCTGGGCCTCCTCAGTAAACCTCTCCTCCCGGGCTGTGACTCTGGGCAAGGACAGGGCACGAGGAGGAAGGGAGGAGGGGGCATGGCCCATCCACAGGAGCACAGGGACCATGCCCTTGGGGGGCAGGAAGTAAGGAGAGTGATGTGGCACATTTCCCTCCAAATGCCCTCCGGGACACGGGTCTGTGGGGATGGGTCAGTCCTGGGCTGACTCGGGAACCCGCGCAAAGCAACTCCCGGTATGTGGGAGGCGGTAGGAAGACTTGCCTGGAGGCCCCCATCAGACCCCAGGAAAGGCCCTGAAGGAGGTCACAACTAGACCACGTGATGCAGGCCATCGCCTTTGAGCAGCTTCTCCTTACTTTTTTCTTTCTTTTTCTTAACTAGTTAAAGTCACAGGAGGCCAAGGGTGAGTGCGCCGTAGGGAGGAGAGCAGAGCCCTGGGTCCAAATGTGGGGTTGGCCACACGCAGCCGCTGAGTCTCCATCTCCTCTTGGGTAAATTGAGGCCTACAGGAGACCCTGTGCCCCTGTGGTCGAAACTCTTAGCTCCTACCTTCCCACCATTTTTCTCAAGAGGCCCCGGGGGTCCCCCAGGGTGGGTGTAGGGGTGGCAGCGAGAGTCTCAGGACACCTTCCATGCAAAGGCGTGACTTCGGCCTCCTGAGACACAATTTGGCCAGCAGTTTTCCAGGCAGATTGTTGTTCTGGAATTTGATCCCTCAGATCCCTGGATACCATCAACTTAGGGCAAATGGGGTTTCCAAGAGGCAGAGAAAGGCAGATGTGACAAAATGAATCCTGATAGAACCAGAGTGACAGAGAGAGCAGGAATGGAGCAGAGTTGCCCTGGGACGCTGGGTCAGGGGGCCCCGAGGAAAGGGGGTGGGGGGTCCAGTTCTTCCTCTGGCTCAGCCACTATCTTCATTCAGTCTCTCCCGTGACCACTGTCTTGAACCTCTTGAGGTGTTCCCTGATCCCAAACCTCAGACACACAGACAGCAGCTGGATCCCTTAGCTGTTGTGACAGGAGCCATGTTCCCGGAGCCCGAGTGGGGCTCTTCTGCAGACGGGATGGGGCTGAGGTCTTGGGAGGCTCTCTGCTCTAGACCAGGGACACTGACTTGAAGCCAAACGCCTGGCTGCTGTCCCAGCTGCGCCACTCACAAGCGGGGCAAGGTCACTTTCTGAGCCTCAGCTAACTCCTCTGTAAAAGGAGGTAACGCTATCCACTGGTTCGGTGGATGGGAGATGGGTGATGGCCACCATGAAGATATGGTGGCTGAGTCTGATGGGTACACAGGCTGCCTACGGCTGATGGAAGGAACCAAGTGTGCAGAGGCCAAGAGAAGCCAGGCTAGCCTGGGGTTCTGACGACTCTCTTGCAGGAGGGCAGACAAGCCCCTCTATGCCTGGGCAAAACCCCCCTGGCCACAGCCTGTCCACCAGAAGTGAGCCACCATGACGTCAATCCCCCTGGGAGGCCTGCGTGCTGGGGGTTTGCCTGCTTGGCAGGAGAGGTCCAATTCAAGGGTCCATTTTGCTGGGTAAGTAAGGGGTGTGCAGGGTGGGCAGGGCTACCCTTCTCCGAGCAGGGTTCCCCTGGCTCGAGGAGACCAGAGGACAGTCCATGAGATCAGTCCAATCACAGAGAACCATTAGTTTGCCAAGTACCTCCCTACCTCTGCTCCTACTGTGGCCCCATGTGTCCTCACGAAGGCCTTCTTGAGCCATGGAGGAAGCCACCCCCTTTGCTCCACTGGGGTAAAGGCAACTGAGGGAAGGAATGGGCCTCCAGGGCAGGGGCCAGGCTGCCCCCCCTGCTGGGGTCTGATCCACCCTGCAGCCTCCCCACACTTGGCTTGTGCAGGGCCCAGATGGGCTGTGGTCCGCGGCCTTGCGGCCTGTACTCACGCTCCGTCCCCGTACACCTTGATGGCGTTGACGCAGTTCTTGGACCAGCCCTGACTCTGCAGGAAGGGGCAGTCTTCCTGGAACTCCAGGCACTGGCCGGTGAAGTTGCAGCCCTCGAAGATTTCCAGGCGGAAGTTCTCCCCGTGCTGTGGGCCCCATGGGAGCAGAGGAAAGATGGCAAACGGCACTGAGTTTCCCTCCCCTACACAGAAGCCGGTGCGGCCAGGAACTCAGAGTCGCCCAGGGCTCCGGGCACCCAAGAGCTCCTGCGCTGGGGGGCCAGTGAGGGCCCGCCACCCCAGCACAAGGATCAACACGGCACCCTGCGTTTTCTGGCACCTTGAGATCTGGCTGGACAAAAGGGCTCTATCACTTTAAGAAGCTTCCAAGCCCCTGAACCAGGCCACTCTCCTGTTTCTTCAACTCAAGAATCCAAGGGTTAGAGAGGGCCAGACCACCTGGGAGGCTCTGGCCATGCTCTGACCAGGGCCTAGGCCACGGGGCTCCCTTCTAGCGCCTGGACTGGGGGACCCCTGCCCCAGCCACCCCAACGCATTCCTCTGCCCGTCATCCCCACCCTGGGGCCTCAGGGCAGGGGCAAGCCTTTAAATGATAATATTTTACAAACTGTAATAGAACCTTTTATTAAAACAGGAAGCCAAAAATCTAAAACAAATAACAGATCTCATTTGCTGAAATCCCTGCTGGCTCACTGGGATGACAGTATATAGCCCCTTATAAGATTCCTTGCATTTCCAAAGACAGAGGAGGGCCAGCTCCCAACTGGCTCTGGTTCCGGCAGGGGCTGGGTCTGCATCACAGCTGGCCCTAAGGATAGCTCTTAGGAGAAAAGCATTCAAAAAATACCTAGGAGAGTTTTCATAGAAATAGCATTATGCAAGATCCAGAGCCAGCCATGTTAATTCCTTTTTCCAAATGTCTACAGCCTGGTGGAAATACTAAGAAAGCATTCTTACAATTTGAGATGCCAAAGCCCAGCTGGTTTTGTAACTCGTGTAGAAAAGAGAGAGGCCCCCCCCGCCACACACACACGAGGCTCCCTCCCTGGGGTTCCTCAGATGTTCACCAGCATGGCCTGGCCCCCATGTCCAGGGAAAGATCCTTCTGCAGACACATGGCTGAGACTCCGGTGAGAATCTGGTTCAGGGATCAGCCATTTCCCACCTGACCATGTGGACCTTCCAGCAGCTCAGTTGGCACGTGTAACTTGGGAGAATCCAAAGGAATAGGAATGCTCAGTCCTCAAACCAGCCCCTCCTCGTAAGGGCAACTAGACATGAACCGTCCTTCACCACGGGTAGCGACACCCCTCATATGCTCTCCCTACACACATCGGGCCACTTGTGTAGCTCCAGGAGACCTGCGCCCAAATTCCTGAGGACTGGCTAGTGACTTAGGCCTCCTCCTTCAGTCATTCCACGGTCAGAGCATCAAAGTCTCTTGAAAAGCACTCTAAGATGACCTGCATGGGTGGATACCTCGGGCCCAAATCAGCCTGGCTTTAGCCTAATTCTCCCCCATCTGGTTGCAAATCCAAACTTCTATTATTTCCAACAGCATTTTAAGTGGAAAATGCAGCAAGATGTTGGGATTGGACATTGGAGGTGATTGCCTGATACATGCCGATAAATGTAGGTATAAAAACTTCCAGGGGCTCTCGGGTTCGGTCCCATGCCATCCCACACACGGGAGTGGTGTGTCTGCATGGGGGCATCTCTCCCTCTTAAACATCCCACGGCCTCGTCAGATCTTAAAGTTGGGAGGGTCATGCTCCCAGATTATTTGTCCCAGGGCTGAGCAGCACCGACCCTCAGTCCCTCTGGCAGGAAGCCCCCAGCCAGAGGCCCACTCACCATTCCTATGGGGCGGCAGGAGCCCATGTGGTCATTGTGACCATTCCAGCGGAGGAAGTCGGGGTAGTCTCCATGCTCCAGGATAAACTGCTGGCCTCGGAAGTCGGGGTGATCAAAGCAGACCCAGGCGCCGCTCTCCACACGGATGGAGTTCACCCGGTTCATAAAGCCTCGGTCCTGGAAGTTGTCACAGTCCCCGTAGACCTCCAGCTTCCTCCCGGTGAAGTGCTTGCCCTCAAAGAGGATGATCTAGAAAGGCCAGGTTAGAGGGCTCGGGGTCAGGGGCTTCTCTCCTTTCAGTTTTGGGAGCAGACACCTGGTGTCCAACACCCTTGATTGAACCCTGATTCCCAGGCCCGCTGTGCACAGTATGTGCTCAACACCATTAGCTGGGTGAAAGAACGCATGGATGGTGGGTTGAGGTCAGACCCAGGGCCTGGCCCTCCCCACCCTGGGGGGCTCACAGTTGAGCAGACTAATTTCAGAAGATACTTGGGGACAGGGAGTCCCCCTAGTCCCTGGGCCCATTTGAAAACAGGCTCTTTTCAAACTCCCATTGCATTTTTTAAAAAGATTTTATTTATTTGAGAGAGGGAGAGAAAGCATGGGCAAGGGAAGGGGCAGAGGGAGAAGGAGGCTCCCGGCTGAGCAGGGAGCCTGATGTGGGGCTCGATCCCAGACCTGAGCCGAAGGCGGTCGCTTAACCGACTGAGCCACCCAGGCACCCTCTCACTGCATTTTTAAAACTCAGTTTTTGTTCATGGTTAAATCATAACATCCAAGGAAGTGTTTTTAGAAGAAAGCATTTCACCCACCAACCCACCATCATAACCAAACACTGAATTACCAGAAAGTCAGGTTCCTGGGACTGGGCCCCTTAGCGGGAGAGGCTAAATGCAACAGAGCCAAGTCAGGGCCTGGTGTGGGGATTAATGGCTAAAAAGGGGGCTTTTTCAATGTAACTCACCCCTTTGTTTACTGGGCCACCCCTTTGGGTGACAGGCATGTGTCAGAGCTGGAACACTGCCAACTCAGCGGTCAGTTCACAGCATCCTATGGCAATGTAACACTGACAGGTTCTCCTTGCCCCTAAACTACACAACACTATGCGCCCCAAAATTCATTTTCTGCCACGGAGCGTGAAATTCCAACCACGCAATAACTCTTTGGGTTTCTAGAATTGTGCTCCTAGAAGGGCCCTGGCAAAGTACAATGGTGCCCAGGGGCTGGTAACTGCTGTAATCACTTGCCCTGTCACCAGTGACTACCCTTCTGGGCCCCCTGGGCAGAAGCTATGAGAGCCAGGGTGTGACTTCCCAGCTCTCTGGGTCCCTCTGGGGCCCTGGGGAAGGTGTGCAGGGGCATGATGGGCTCTTGGGATTGTTTGTTACTGAAGCATAACCAAACCTGTGCAGACTGAGTAATGTTCTCATCCGCTAACCTTGACCGTAGCCCCTGGAGACCAAAGGCTGCACCACATTAGCTAGGGGAGGCAGCAGAAAATGGGGGTGCCACCTTCCCGCACAAGACAGGTCTGGTCGATGGCGCAGAGAGATTCAGGGGGATCCGGTCGCCCACCGGACTCCAAGATGCCTCAAACCGCCCCCAGAGCCAGTGCTGGGGGCCGTGGGAGACGGGGACCGTCCCGCCTCCCACGCCAGAGAGGCCCTCTGCCGGCGCCAGGCCGCCCAGCTTGGGTAGGAAATTTTGCCAGCTTTGCTCGGGTTTCTGGGATGCTTAGGGCGCCTCAAGGAACAGCTTGGCCCCTGCCTCCCGAGGACGAGGAGCAGCGGAAGGCGGCGGGTGTCGGGCCGCGCGCGGGCGGCGTCCGTGACCGTCGGGCCGGCCCGGAGGGGCCCCACTCACCTTTCCCGAGCGCTGCGCCATGGTGTGCCCGCCCCGCCCGCGGCCGGCCCCTATATAGCCGGCCGCAGCCCTGCTGGCTCAGCGCCGCCCGGGACAAAAGATTTGCTGGCCGGCGCGTTAGTGCTGGTCCGGCGCCCTAAGCCCGCAAGGGGCCGCCCCGCCCCGTCCGTGGGACCCAACGCCGCTCCCCGCCCGCCCCCCCAGGCGCCGCGAGCCCCGCCACGCGCCTCGCCCCCTGCCCGGCTCGGCCGGCCGGGCGCCCGCGCGGTCCCGGCGGCCCCGCGAACCCCCAGCCGGCCCCACCGCCGCCTCCGTCTCTGACCCCCGGCCGCCCGCCGTCCCTGCTGAGTCAGGGGCACGCACACGCACACACGTGCGCGCACACACGCTCACGCCGGGCCCCTCCGCCTCCCCTCTGCCTTGGGGTTCTCCAGCAGTGCCGCCCCTCCCCCTCCCCTCCTTGGGCCCAAGCCTTCCCCGAGCTCCCGCGCCCTCCCTTTCTCACCTGGTCACCCGCGCTCGAGCTGTGACTGAGCTTTTTCTCTGGACCAAGGATGGAACCCAGCTCCTGGGAGCAAAGAGGACAGCCCTTGACTGCCCCCCCCCACCCCCCAGCGCCTCCTGCTCTGGTCTTAGCCCCCAGCCCCACCCTACACTTTCCACTCCAACGGCACCCGGTCGCTGGTGGCCCACCCGCCCCTGCATCTCTATCCCAGGTTGTCCTCCCCTTCCTTTTCCCCTCCTGCGTTCTTGCTCCCTGAATGCTGTCCCCCACCCCGCCAGTGCTCATCCTCGATCCCTTTCCGTGTTACCTGCCCTGCCCCCGCAGCCCTCGCTGGTGGTCCACAGTGCTCTGTACCCAAACCACCCTGGACGACAAGGATGAGTTTAAGGAAACAGGCAGCCCCGCTGCAGCGTGAGACTTTCTCAGGGCACAGAAGTTCTTGGCACTCAACAAAGGCTCAAAGATTGCGAAGTGAAGAGAGTCAACACTGAGCCCACAAGATGTGCAGCCCCGGATTAGGCTGGGGGGGGATGAGATGTGTATACATAAAACAAACAGCAACTCTGGTCGTTACCTGGGGCTGGGGGCCAGCTCTGAGATCAAAGGAGACAGAGTTCATCTGCACAGGGGTGACCCCAGGGGGCTTCACGGAGGGCAGGGCAGTGGGTCCCAGGGGATGAGGGGATGCTGTGGGGAACAGTCTGAATTGTTTCTCCACTTTCAGGGAAGAATTTTGAGCACATTTCACAGATGAGATGCTTCAGGCTCCGAAGAGGAAGTCATGCAGTTCTTGGGGTGACCTTGCCCCTGTTCTGAGAGGCTGTCCAAGGATAGGCCTCTCAGCGGCCCTGGCCCAGCTGTTGCCCCCACAGGCATCCACACTGGCCAAACCACCCAGTCCAACGTTTGCCTCCCGACCCGGGCCCTGCTGGGGAAATATAATTAAAAACAATATCTCCCCAAAAGCCTGTCCATAAAGGTAGAAGAGGAAGAAAACTGTTGTATGATTGAATGAATAAGCATTAAGCCTGAATGTGATGTGCATCACAGGCCATCCGCTAAAGAGATTTCAAAGACGAGGAAACCTCAGCCTTTTTATCTAGACAGGCAGATGCGACTCACTACATATGTGTTAAGAGAATTTGCTGGTTTTCTTGTATCTTTGTGCTTCCAGATAGGTTTTGCAATTCAAAGTAAGGTGACAGCTGGAGCTAAGCCAGTCCTCTCCTCTCGCAGGAAACCAGGAGGTGGAGAGATATCTTCCTTGATGATTCCTTTTTCAAAGAGTTGGCTCCCAGCTCCTGGAGGAAACATTCCTGAGTTTTCAGACTGGCAAGCAGCTTGTTTAGCCATTAAAAGATGTGCATACATGTAATAAGAACCAAGCGCCTGGGTCCTTGCTCAGCAGGGAATCTTCTTTTCCCTCTCTTGCTCCCCCTGCTGTGGTCTCTCTCTCTGTCAAATAAATAAATAAAATCTTAAAAAAAAAAAAAAAAAAAGAACCAAGAAAGAAATTCTAGAAGAAAAAGGAGGGATGGGGGGGGGTGCCTGGGTGGCTCAGTCGTTGGGCGTCTGCCTTCGGCTCAGGTCATGGTCCCTGGGTCCTGAAATCGAGGCCTGCGTCAGGCTCTCTGCTCAGCGGGGAGCCTCCTTCTCCCTCTCCCACTCCCCCTGCTTGTGTTCCCTCTCTTGCTGTGTCTCTCTCTGTCAAACAAATAAAATCTTAAAAAAAAAAAACAAAGAAAAAGGAGGGATGGAAAGTCTCTTCCCTTATTTTCAACTGGGAAAATTAAGCCTCTTATTTTTTTTAATATAAACTTTAGGTTCATGGCAAGATTGAGCTCCAAGTACAGAAAGGTCCCATATATCCCCTGCCCTCCCCAGCCTCCCCATCATCAGCACGCCCCACCAGGGTGTTATATTTGTTACAACTATGAATAAACACTGACACATCGTTATCACCTGAAGTCCATAGTTTAATTTGTATTTGCCCTTACAGCACCAGGGCCAGAGCCCACAGACAATGCACCCAGGTGATGTGGGGAGATTCAAAACACAAGCAGCAATTTCAGGTGTTTTCTGCAGAGTATACATGGACAACAACAAGCCACAGCCTCACTAAAAGAATTGGTAAAAATGAACAGGTGGATCAGATTTCTTCAACTTTAACCTCCACTCCCCTATCCCAGCGCCATGTCTCAGGTCTCACCCAGGATTTTCATTATAAGGAGGTCAGGTCTGTCATGGCTCATATGATGTATTTGTGCCCAAGAAGAATCCCTGCCCCAAATAGTTATCTACACAAGCAAAGGCCAGGCTGGCAAAACCTCACCGCTGCAGAGCCTGGTCTTTGAGTGAGTCATCTTTAATAGTGCACTGTTAAGAGGAACCTTGAAATAGGTGAGATCTTAAGCCACATATGACTGCTGGTTGGTGACAAAATGCTAGGAGAATGGCTCAGAATAAAATGATGACAGTAGAAGGAGCAGGTCTGAGGATGCTGTCTTGATTTTAAGAAAATCTCAACAATGTGCAAACTTAAAAGCTGCAAGTAGCTGCTCAGTGTGGGAAAGCTGCAAGGCATGTGCCGATCCAGTGCCCACCTGCCCGCTTCCATCCTCCTGCCTTGGGTTTTTGTCGAAACTCTTCCCTTTTGGGGTAAGTTAGAGCACAGAGAAGTCTAGAGAGTACTAGAAGGAAGAACACACCCATTACCCAGCTTTGTTAAATCTTAACATTTTGCCATTTTTATGTCAGGTCGACTTTTTTTTCTTTAAAGAAAGAAGTCATCAGGGGCCCCTGGGTGGCGCAGTTGGGTAAGAATCTGAGTCTTGGTTTAGGCTCAGGTCTTGATCTCAAGACTGTAGGATCCTGCCGGCTCCGAGCTCAGCGAGGAGTCTGTTAAAGTTTCTCTCTCCCTCTCCCTCTGCCCCTCCCTGCTCTCTCTCAAATAAATAAATACAACTTAAAAAAAAGATGTCATCAAAAGCCTTCCTTCTCCAGAAATACCCACTATCCTGATTTTTATGTTTATTATTTCTTTGACTATTTTCATACGTTTACTATTTGTGTACCTGGAAATAAGGTACATTTTACAATAGGCTAACACTGTACATGTATCCTTCCGCAATTTGTTACCTTCTTGTTTGTGACCCCAGTTTCTGAAATAGTGAATGGATAACTCTTGGTAAGTTCCTCAGAGAACCAAGTAAAATCTTCCATCTATTTATCTAGTACATTGCATGCTAGGAAAACTCAGTGTCTATTAAAAACAAGAGAGAATACAATGTGTTTGGGGTGAAATTGTGGGACCATGCCTCATGGCTTGTTGCAAGATATCAAGTATCCCGGGGTCCTATCCACTAAAGGCCTGTCCCTCCTCTATCATTGTGACAAATGGAAATACCCTCAGATATCCAAACGCCTTCAGGGAACAATCCCACCGCGTTTGGGAGCCATACCTCTGTGTGAAATCGCTGGGTGAAGCATGAGCTCACCTCAACTCCACTGGAAGCAGCCAAGGCTGCATGAATGCATGAGTGAATGAGGGCAAGCACACCAATGGTGCAGGGTTAGCCATCAGGATGTTTGCCTGGGCCGGGGTTAGTGTGTGCCCGGGAAGTGCACTGGGCAGCTTGGGGACAGCCTCGGCCCTGGGGACACACTGACCTTTGGTGGACAGGGAGGGACGGAGCTCCTTTAGCCAGAATCTGCGCCCTTCTAATGGGGGTGGGGTCGGGGGGAGGACTGTCTGTGGACCAGCGGGGTCCTGAACCTCCTTGGGAGAAGGAGTGAAATCTTCCTGGGGTTTGCTCAGTGCCAAGCCCCCCAGCCTGGGGTTCCGGCTCCGCCCTGTTTCAGGTCTACTTCTAGGAGACAGAACACATCTCCCTCCCAGAAGAGGGGCCAGAGGTCTGCAGTGGAGGGGCGAGTATCGGATTAGGGTAGGGAAGGAAGAGGTGGGAGTGCCAAAGCTGAACGTTTGGGTTCTGGGAGACGGCCCCTTGGCCCCATCTCCCACCCCAGAATAAGCGGGCTTGGGTACGTGCGCGGCGCCGAAGCCTGACCCCTAGTGGTGGTTACAATAACTACATCCCCAATTGCTGGGGGCGGGGCTTGGAATTACAGTTCGTTCAACCGCAGGGACAGTCATTTCAGTGTTTATACATCCAGGGACCAACTAACACAACATATATCATGCCACTTAATTCCTTCAGCAATCTTCAGAGGCAGGTGTTATTAACACTCCCACTTTGTAGAAAGGGGAAGTGAGACACGGTAAGTAACTGGCCCCAGGCCACAGAGCCAGTAAACAGTGGAGCTCCGATTTGAAGGCGAAGTCCGTGCCCTTATCTCCAAAGAGATTACAGTTCGTACATTCTCCTAGCATTTTGCTGTTTTACAGTCTAGCTTGTCTGTTCCTGTCCTTGTTTCAGACCTTCCTCCTCCAGCTCCCCTCCTTCATCCGAGTCTTCAGCATTTCCTCGTCTCATGACTCAAAGGCTGAAGATAAGCCCACTTTGAGAAATCCATCCAAGCAGTAAACAGAGAGCAAATAAAGAATTATGAAAACACATTTAAGTGACATGAATGGAAGGCTGATAATTCCAATATATACTAAAGGACATTCCAGAAAAGCACCAGCAAGAGTGGCAGAGGGGCACCCAGCTCAGTTGGTTAAGCCTCTGCTTTCGGCTCCGGTCATGATCTCAGGGTCCTGGGAAAGAGTCTTGCTTCAGGCTCCCTGCTCGGCGGGGAGCCTGCTTCTCCCTCTGCCTCTGCCTCTGCCCCTCCCCGTGCTGGTTCTCTCTCGCACGCTCTCTCTCTCAATAAATAAAAATCTTTAAATTGGTTCCGGCTCAGGTCAAGATCTCAGAGTGATGTGATTGAGCTCCGTGTCTGGCTCCCCGCTCAGCGGGGAGTCTGCTTGGGATTCTCTCTCCCTCTGCCCCTCCCCCCCACCTTTCTCTCAAACAAATAAGTAAGTCTTTAGAAAACAAAAGAGCAGCAGTGAAGCCCTATTTGAGGAGGTAGTGGCTCAGAACTTTCCAGCATTGAAGGCGATCCTGAACTCTGATTGAGAGTGCACTCTGAATACTGAGTACTGAGCAAGATAAATAAAAATAACTAGCACATCTAGACACACTGTGGTGGAGCTCCAGAACAGCACAGTTAAAGGGCAGATCTTTGAAGACACCAAAGAGAAGAGCTGCGTCATCCTCCCGTGTCCCCCAGAGCAGGGCCCTTAGGTGTCCTCTGAGATTCCACAAGCCCCAGCCTGCAGGAAGGATGGCCCCACCGAGCCACACCGCCCTTGGATTGGCTCCTGGCCCTGAGCCTCAATCCCCTAATCTGGGAAAGGGGCAAATAAAATCCCTCCTCCACAGAACTACAGCAAGTAAGAGTGAGCAGCGTGTTGTGGGGAAGGGGGGGGCATGGCAGCGATTTGTTTCTTTACTTTTTCTTTTGATATTTAATACATTCTCATTGTTTATTAATGACCACTCGTGACAAACCTACATCCCTCTACAGTTCTGTAGTTAGTCCATTTTACAGATGAGTAAGTTGAGTCCCAGACCCAGACCCAGGCGAACATTTTTTTTAGGGCCCCTGTCTATATATAATTTGAGGCACCTGAAATCAGCACCATGGCACCAATCTTGGGTGGCCCAGGCACAGGTCAGTGGCAGTTTGAACAACCTCCTCAGCCCGTGTGCTTCCTCACACGTGCCTGCTGGCTCGCTCTCCTCCATCGTAACTGCGGCAGCGGGTGGCCTGACTTGCCTCCACCCCCCGGCCTCCCAGGGCCAGTGGACTCATTCCTTCAGTGTATCCAACCCAACACCTGAACAAAGGGACCCAGTCCGGTTCGCGTGGGGCCAAGCGGGGTCCCAGCCCACTCCAGCGGGTCACAGGGCACAAACCACAAACATGGATATGGACGGGGGGAGGGGGGCTGGGGGTGTGTGTAGGGCAATGGGGGGCAGAGGCCTGCGTCCTGGCTTCAGGCCCGTGCTCCTTTCACCTGGTGAGAGTCTTGATGGCGGCAGAGAACTGGGGAGGGCGAGCCGGTCGGGTCAGCTGGGGGCAGAGGCAGAACGGGAAGGAGGGGGGCAGGTTATGAGGGCACAGTCGGCTAACGCTAGCGGGGGTCACGATTTCCATAGCAGCATCACAGGATGGAAAGTTTGCGGAGTTCACGCTGGGAGAGAGGTCTGGCTTTTGGAGCAAGACCATCTGCAGCAGGAGCTCCACCCCAGTGTGGGGAAAAGCTGACCGCCCAGCAGGCAGAGGGCGGGCCTCAGGACCCCACCCAGTGGCAGGAGCGGCCGAGGGACGGTCAGGAACTGTGGAAGAAGAAATCAGCACAGAGATGTGTGCCTTTCTCAGACTCGAGGGGGCGACAGCACAAACCTGGCTCGTGGACCTTGGCTCCCGCCGGCTCTCAAGCAGCCCCGAAGTTACCAGGCCCCGCCAAGCATCTGACTCACTGACACAGCACTTAAAATCCAGGTATAATTTGGGGTGCAATCACACTGGCAAGTGGCTGCACCTGCTACCTGTTAAAGAAAAATTGTGGGGGGGGGGCGGAGAAACGCCTTAACGTTGAAAAAACATTTTTTTGGCTTAAAGTTGGGAAATTTAAATTCTTGCAGCAGAACATCTTCATCCAGCTCAAGAAACATGCGTAATTGGGAACAACCAATTTGGTTCAAATGCTTCTTCATTTTTTTTTTTTTAATTTTTATTTTTTTAATTTATTTATTCATGAGAGTCAGAGAGAGAGAGAGAGAGGCAGAGGCAGAGAGAGAAGCAGGCTCCCCGCCTAGCAGGGAGCCCGATGAGGGACTCGATCCCAGGACCCCGGGATCATGACCTGAGCCGAAGGCAGACGCTTAACCATCTGAGCCACCCAGGCGCCCGTAATGCTTCTTCATTTTGCAGATGGGAAAAGAGAGGTGTATCCAGGAATGTGGACTATCCCCCTGGTGGCAGAGCAAGGGTGAGAACGTGGGTCCCCGTCCTCGGGCAAGCAGTGCCAGATCTTTATTTATTCCAGGGGCTGCCAAGGGGAGGTATAACGCAGCCAGTGTGGCCTCTGGTCCAAGGGCATTGGCATCACTTTGCACTTGTCAGAAATGCAAATTTTAGAGCTCTATCCCAGAAGGACAGAAACTGAATGTGCACTAAGCGCCCCCCCCCCCCCCGCCCGCTTGGACGGCCGTCCATAGGTTCATACATGGGTATACATACTATGCATTCGTGTGTACGGGAATCATCTGGGGGTCACGGTCAACTCTTAGAAAATGGGTTCTAGGCTTGGGTCTCAGGAATTTGCTAGGAGACCCTCGTCAGGAGCGGTACACTGAACGTATGTGCCCCCTCAAATCATGTGCTGACAGCTGATCTGCAAGGTGCTGGTGTTGGGAGGTGCTTAGCTTATGAGGGCGGAGCTGTGATGAATGGGACCAGAGTGCCCTCAGGAAAGAGCTCCCTGGCTCTTCCACCATGAGAGGACGCAGAAAGAAGACAGCGTCTACGGACCAGGAAGTGCCTCTCACCAGACACCAAATCTGCGTGTACCTTGATCTTGGATGGGAGCCTTTGGACGATGAGAAATAACACCTTGCCCCAATCCCACTAGGCTGTGGCGTTCTGTCATGGTGGCCCCAGTGGACTAGACAGCAGGTCACAACACCGACCTTTAGTTTCTTCCTTTGTCAACGGCAGAGTTCTGGCCACGTGTCATTTGGGATGGCCAGCTCGCTCGGGTTTGCCCGAAGTCCCACGGTGCAAGTTGTGCCCGAGTTTCCTTAGGCAGCCCCGGCAGAGAGCCACAGTCTGGGGGGTCCTCTCCCGGTCCTGGAGGCCAGAAGTCCAAAATCCAGATGTGGACAGCCTTGGTTCCTTTTTGGAGGCTCGGAGGGAGAGTCTGTTGCCCGCTTCTGCCCCTGCCCACTCTGCCTCCGTCACCGTATGGCCTGCTTCCCTGCGCGTCCTGGCTCTCTGGATCCAGATTTCTTCTTAGAAGGACGTTAGCCACCGGACTGGGACCCACCTTAGTCCGGTATGACCTCACTGAACCTGATGACATCTGCAAAGACCTTATTTCCAAGTAAGGCCACGTTCACAGGTACCCGGGATTAGGACTTCAATATAGCTTTTTGGAGGACCCAGTTCAACCTACAGCGGCCCCCTAGTCCCCGGCAGAGTGGGCGTTCGGTCACCCCCCCAATCTGAGATCCCACAGTCACGGGACTCCTGCCTGTCCCCCTTTATGTAGGTATCATGGCCTAAGTCAGCGGTTCTCAAAACATGGTTCCTGAACCACCAGCAGCAGTAGCAGCCCTGGGTACTCGGTAGCAGTGAGGATGTCTCGGGCTCCACTTGCACCCCCAGAATCAGAAGCTCTGGGCTGAGGCCCCCGTGTGTTTTAGCCAGCCCTTCCGGTGACGCCGAGGCAGGCCCACGTTCGAGAACCACCCACCTGAGCTGGAGCTGCCTGCCCCGGGCTTCGCAGGGGAGCCAGCCGTGGACTTGCAACTGTTCCGAGCACTTTACAACGTCCCGTAATGCGCCAGTTACAGGCACAGAAAGGGTTGTGCCTCGGAATGATTTCGGTTACGGGATCCTAAAAATCGGCACGTCAGAGCTGAGGAATGTAAGCTTTCCGGCTGCTCCAGCTGCCACGGCCACGCTGGCCCTTTGCGTCAGCCTTTTAGGGTAAAGTTCAGGACTGCACAAGCCCGCAGCCGTGCCACATACTAAAGCCAGGGATTACGGTGTTGATTTACTTGGCTCCTTGGCTAATCTACAGTGATAGGGGCTCGAAGAGGGAATAAAAGGGTAAAGCCAAACCCTAGCAAGCCAGGAGTCCTGCAGGATGTGCTCCCTCTGAGAGCAGGCAGCCGAGCGGGTCGTTCGGTTTCTGTACTATATCGAGAGGCCTGGGCCGTTCTTGGGCAGCAGGAAGAACTGGGTGAAAGGTCCTGATTGCTGAGGCCATAATAATTCCAGAATCTTTGGCTATTTCCTGAGAAACTTCATGCCTTACAGATCTTAGCCAAGGCCGCTTCCTGGGCTTTAACAGAATGTGGGAGGTGGAGGGGCCTTTGGAGTCCGTGTTCCGCACGGGCTTCTTCTCCTTGGAAGGTGCACTGAGGTCCCCACTCGGCACCTGAGGGAGCAAGCTGTCTGCCCACAGACTAGGGCACTCTCCACGGCACCGCGACAGGGTCTGGCGGAGGCTGAGCTCCGTTGGTCCCGACAGGGGCCTTCGGTGGCAGACCTGCATTTCCCCGATGAGCCTGGCTGGACACCCATGTGTTCTTGACACCTTGGGCCAGACTGGAATGAAATCGTTTTTTTGGATTTGGTAAACTTGCGTGTCGAGGTCACTGGTGATTCTCCATCGTGTCTTTCTGGGTGTGCAGGCTGCGGGAATCCCGGAGTCACCCACAATACCCAGTGCTGCTGGCCACACATGGAAGCTTCAGAAACAGCGGGACCCGGGCAGCAGGTACAGGCCTGGGGCTGGCGCGGGGGCGGCTCGCAATCCTCAGGACTGTGATGCTGCATTCATTAGGGCTTTGCGGACAGCCAAGGTTTTCCTCCTTGTGGCATGACAACAGTCCCTGGCCAATCAAGACCAGAGAGTGTGAGGGAGTTGCCCGAAGACACACTTTAGCTGCGGAGCTGGGAGCAGAACTGCTTTGTTCTGAGTCTTACTATTTTTTTTTTTTAAAGATTTATTTATTTCACAGAGAGAGAGAGCACAAGAAGGGGGAGCGGCTGGCAGAGGGAGAAGCAGGCTTCCTGCGAAGCAGGGAGCCCGATGCGGGGCTTGATCCCAGGACCCTGGGATCATGACCTGAGCTGAAGGCAGTCGCTTAACCAACTGAGCCACCCAGGCGCCCCTGTTCTGAGTCTTAGTCCGAAGCTCCACCTTACGTGGGGTTCCTGGTGGGTACTGGGGTATAGTACATACTAATGGACTAATTGCTGGGAGCTATCTCTGGGCCTCAGGTCCGGCCTCTGGAAACAGGGATGCTAAGTCCGCTCTCAGCTTTCCAGTTGTTAACTCCAGAGCAGACCGCCTGCCACACTAGGGAAGTCATCAAAGGGACAGAAAGATCATCAGGATGGGTAACACAGCAGTTCTGCTTAATGTAAAACTTTGCCCTCTTGGGGAGGGGGAAGAGAGAGGGAATGGTTCCGGAGTCTCCGGAGGAATGCTTCGGGAGGCATCCTGGTTTCCCGCTGGTACAGCCTTCCCGGCAGGCCCTATTAATATGCACCACAGTCTTGGTCCACTGGTTACCAGGGCAGCCTGAGGCATGGGGCAGGCACGCGCTCTGGAAATGCTGCAGGCAGGGCTGATGAGGCTCGGGCTGGGGGGCTCCGCTCAGGCCGGCCGCAGCCCACAGGAGCCAGAGAGGCTTTCCTGGAGTCCAGGCCTCTCCAAGAACTCTTCAACCGTACTTCCATAACCACGATAACCGAAAAGGCAGCAGTGTATTCTGGGTCATCTGAATGACTTCCTGATGACCAAGGACTGCCGCCATCTGAGTCCCAGGCTGTTTGCATTGACCCTGGCAGACGGCACCAACCTTCCTTCTTATGAGCCCATAAGGGGTAGGCTCAGGAAGTGAGTAGAGGCTGTCCCAGCGCCCTGTGTGGGTGGTGGGGAATTTCAACCACACCCCAATGGACGTGGGCCAATTTCAAAGGAACCATTTAGAAGGCAGCCCACAGAAGGGTTCATCCACTCACCCGTCCCACTGCGCAGGCCCTGCAGGGACGTCACTGGGAACACTGCCGTAGGGACCTTTGAGAACCCAGCGAGAACACCAGTAAAAACCGTCCCCCCTAATTTGACTTCTTCAGGATTCTGGACATTAACTAAAGGCTTGCAACAACCAGGGGGTGTTTATTTAAGAAAAGCGAATGGTTTTCAGCACCAGTGAGCCTTGGGGCATCATCACTTGCCCTCTTGCCAGACCCTGACCCCAACTCCCAGGTGCCTTGCAAATCAACAGCCGCAATTGGGACAAACCAGCACTGTGGCAGCCCCGGAAGGGTCAAGAGGGGGTTGGAGCTCTTTCAAAGCCCCGCATTCAGAAAACTCATTTGTCACATCCAGCAGTTCCCTGGAAAACCCCCACTGCCAAGTCTTGGTTTTATTTGACCCGACCGCTGTTTCCCATGGTGTCTGTTAAAAACAGTCGGCAGCCATTTATTTGACATTGGGGCCAACAGCAAGCTAACAAAACAGCCTAAAAAAAAAAAAAAAGAAAAAGAAAGAAAGAAAAATGTTGGAAAAGGAGGTGTCCAAGGGGCCTTTGAAAAGGCAGCAGGCTCCTGGGAGCCCAGAACACCACACGCGTGGCCTGCACCTGCTCATGAGAAACCTCAACCAGAAGGGGCGGGGAAGGGCCGAAGGAGAAACACTCTGCACCCAGAACTCTACATCCAACAAGGCCTTCTTGGAAAGATGAAGAGCAACAAAACCTCCAGAGAATTCAGGGCTGGCAGACCTGCTCGCAAGAAATGCTGGAGGGAGTCTCAGGCTGGAACCAAGGAAACTGGATGACTATAGAGCACCGGGAAAGGTCGCTACACAGGTAAGTACGCAAGACAGGATAAATGTATTTTTTTGTAATTTCTTTCTCCTATTTGATTTAAAAGATGACTTCATAAAGCAATAACAAATCTATTCACTTTATACAACACATAAAAATGTAATTTGTAGGACAATACTACAAATGGGGAGGAGGGCATGAGCTATATATAGGAGCCAAGTTTTTGTACACTATTGAAATGGCATTAATCCGAACTGGATGGTTATGAATTAAGATGTTCATTATAATTCCTAGGGCAACCACTAAGAAAATCACAAAAAAATACATGTTATGACAGACACGGCTGAGTGAACTAGTGCACTGGGCAATCTTTTTCAGGAGACCCCGTGCTCGGGGGCGCTGGGGAGTCAGGGTGCCTGGGACAGATGGATCACTGCGTCCGCTCCAGGTGGATCTAGTCGGCGAACACACGGTGTGCACAAGGACCCACAGTGATGGAGCGCGGCAGGTGCCGTACCGGGTGACAAGAGCGTGAGGGCTCAGACTCGCGGAGAGGAGCCCACGTGGTGGCCCGGGGGGGTGGGAAGTCTGGGGAAGGGCGTTCTGGAGGGAGAAGAGCGTGTTGTCTGGGAACCACCAAGGCCAAAGGGACCGGAGCATGGCCTCGGGGGCAGATGAGGTTAAGCACCAGCTCGATCGTGCTGGGCTTCAAGCTTTGGAAGTTTGGATTTTGGCATGATTATTACGAGAGAATTTTGAGTGACATGAAATGGTTGGTCTTAAACAAGTTGACTTGGTCCACGACGTGAAGGGTTGGGAGTGCTACCTACCGCGGGAAGCCAGTATGCACCGGGGTGGACTGCACGGGAGACGAGGAAGAGGGAGAGGATGGCGCCCCACTTTCTAGCTTTAGTATCTAGTGGGCAGCGGTGTGATTTCCTGAATCAGGGTCTAGGGGAGGCCCAGGCTTCTGAGGAAATCAAGTATTCAATTTTGACATAACACACCTGAGAGGTCGAGACATCTAAGACAAGAAAAGCCCACAGAGGTCAGGGGGGCAGGTGTGAGCTTTGGGGCCTTCGGGAAATGTGGTAGTAAACATAGGGAAACCAGGGAAGAGGATGCAGGGAGGACAAGGGCCCACCGAGGTCTGGCAGAGAAGGAAAGAGCAAAGGAGACTCATGCCCACAGTGCGCCAGAGGAGACCCGGAGAACATGGTTTCATGGAAGCAGGGAGAAGGCTTGCGGAGTCACCAGCCGTGTGCGATGCTGCTGAAAGGTCAAGAAAGCAACCAGGAGGACCCATGGGTGTGCTGACAAGGGGGTGGTGAGCAGTTTGGGCAAGCGGGCCGCGCCGTCAGTGGCATGGCTGAGACGTGGCGGTCTCGGTATAAGCGGCTGGACAATCTAGTTTGAGCAAAATTCCATCATGTTAATTTAAATTTGTAATGTGATTTTATAATTTGTATTAATTGTGAGCTGCAGAAGAGTTTATGTCAATAAAGATTTTATTTATTTATCTGAGAGAGTGCAAGTGGGGGGAGAAACAGAGTGGGAAAGACTCTCAGAGTCCACGCTGAGCACAGAGCCCAACACAGGGCTTGATCTCACGACCCCGACATCATGACCTGAGCCGAAACCAAGAGTTGGACACTTAACCGACTGAGCCGCCCAGGCACCCCTGCAAAATAGTTTTGAATACATACCTGGTTTTATATTTGTACGTACTGTACTTCAATGAATCTAAGACCACATTTATGCACCACTAAGAAAAACATTATCTTGCCGAACATGATGCTTTTTCATTGATCCTAAGACTCATTTTTGATTTCAGAAATGCTAAAACATAAGAAAAAAAGGCCTAGAAGTGAGTGATTGAACACAGTATTAAGTAACAAAAAGTTTAAGTCAAATCTGGCAGTTGCTAGCATTTCTTCAGAAGCTCAGGTATCACATGAGCAGAGAGGACACACAATGGTATTGGTCCTTGACATTAACCAATTGCTGACACCTTTAAGATGGTTTCCTCATCTGTAAATAGGGCGGCTGGGAAGCAAACCAGGACATCAGCACATCGCAGGTGACTACCAACCACCTCCCATCGGCACCTCAAGGGAATGAACTCCTCGTCACTGAAATCTGGAGCTGCGGCACCACGTTTGGAACACAAAACACGCTCAGTCCATCCAGCACGTCAGTCAGCTGCCTGCGGACGGGATCAACGCACTGGGGAGCAGGCCCGGCCCGGCCCGTAGTATCTCCAAGGCTCAAGGTTGGATGCAGGCTCTGTTAAGGGTGCAGGTTTCCCTGCTGTGTTCATGACACGCAGAACAGTCTCACTGCATGGTAACTGACATTTAAAGAAAAACTTGGAAAAAAAAGAACGTAACTATCGGAGTGACTAGGTGAACAGCACCACATAAAGGAAGCCCAGACCTCCTCCAGACAGGGCCCGGGTCCTCCAAGGATCACTTGGTGAGAGCTGGCTTCCGGCACGAACATGGTGTTCGAAGCTCCCATTTACACAGAAATTCTTTTCAGATGAAAAAGGCTGCCCGGGTGAAGTGGATCCAGATTTAAATGGGAGGACCCATGTAGAACACAAGGCCTAAGAAGAAACCCTGTTAATGAGAATCAGTACTGTGCGGTCCAAGAAGATTTTGAGTATTTGAAAAACTGTATTTTATTAATAGAGTCAGTGATAACGTTTGCTTCGCGGTCGGGACTGGCTCTGTGCACCATCACTGGGAAAGCGCCACTCAAGTGGGACTTAAGAGTCAACGTGGTGGCCACTGAGCAAAGGAAACCCTCCTTCCTCCTTCTCGCTGGTCCCTGCGGAGAGGGAGGGGTGCGGTCGGGGTCTGAAGGAGGTTCTCCCAAGCCCCCCCCCCAACACTTACTGGCAACATTCCCTGCCCTTGAAACGACTCAGTGTTGTGGGATCTGAATCAGATCCTGTCTGCGGTGGACATCAAGCAAGGCCCAAAGAGAAACAGGAAGTGACTCTTAACTTCCCCTTGTCTTCAGGTGGCCTACGGGCAAGCAGCAGGGAGAGGAGGCTCTAGCTCTGCTCGGTGCCCCCACGGCACGAAGCCCCCCACTCAAGGTGGGGGCTCTGAGGGTGCAGGGGAGAACAGTCACTACTGGGGACTAACTCTCCTCACAGACCCTCCAAGGCCACTCAGCAGCTGGGGTCGATCGAGAGCCAGCCCAGTTCTGGGCCTCTTCCCAACCGTCCCATGGCCCTGCCATCTGGTGGGCCTGCCAGGTGCCAGAGCCCCAGAGCCCCAGAGCCCCTGCGGTCAGCGGGCCGGCCCGCGGCCACCCCACCCCCACCCCCCGAGGCAGGGAAAGGTTCCCTCAGTGGGACCACGTTTTCTTCTTTAAAGGCCACACCAAGTAGCTCGAGGGGTTAAGGTTTGCAGCTATTTTATTTACAAGTATACATTTAACACAATGAAATAAACACTGATATATCGAAGCCTAGTTAATAGTAGTGTAACAATATGTATCATTTTGATGATTACATTATTTTAAACAACAAACTACACTGAAAAATTAATGCCGATAAAATTCTTGGGTCATAATATTATTAAGAAATACAATATATAAATTGAAAATATGATTGCTTAAAATTTGAAAATGGAAGTGAACTCATTTGGACAGAGTCAGAGTTTAACATAATCTGAAAGGGGGGTGGGGCAGGAGAAAGCTCTGACCCAAATGAAATCTTTCAGGTTAACAGAAGGAAAAAGAAGCTGAGTTTATCTTAAAGGGTAACGGGCAGTCTGCTTCTTCGGGCAGGATCGACTCCCAGTGTCCGGTTCTGCAGCAGGGTTACATCACCGAGCAGGACGACTTTCCTTGTGAAGCGGCCCCGTCAATTTTTTCTGCCTCCAAAATTATCCTTCGAAAGACATCAACGGCCGTCTGAAAATCAAAGAGAAAACTAGCCCGCATTAGTTTTAAAGTGGAACCCTGATGAATACTTCTACTGCTGGCAGGACTGAGAAGGCCCACCGCCCACCGTCGCCCCGGCGGGTGGAGGTCCCCAGACTCCCTTCCTGCCCCACACCTCACCCCTGCCACCTCCTGACTCGGGAGCTAACCTCGCATCACGCTTCTGACCCGTTTTCACCGGCCGCAGCCCAAGAAGTCCCTCCCCGCTCTGGTTCCTCTAGAGTTTCAGGGTCCGGTACGAGCACCCGCTCACCTGTCAGCTCTCATTCCCATCTGAACGCTGCTTTCCCGGGAGGAGGGTTCCCTCTTCACAGCCCTGAGCCACGGGACCGACAGCAGGGCAGGCGCCCTTCCCGCACCCCACTAACCCCTCCAGACCTGTGCCCCCCGCTTCCCTGAAACGCTCAGCTTCAACTCGTACGCAGCTCTGCAATGATGTAAGCCAGCTTCGAGCCCATACAAGCCCCGAGTCGTTTCCCCTCTCCCTTCTGGAGCGGCGGCACTGTCTCCAACACCGCTCTCAGCCCCGTGGCCTCCTCTCCTCCAATGACCGGTCGTTCCCCACCGCCGCCGCTCAGCCGCCTGGGCAGCCCCACAGGCCCTTCATGAGGAGTCACTGGTATTCTGGGCAGGGATTCCCCTCTTAGGCAGAACACCCGTCCCTGATGATAATCAAAAATTGCCCCTGTTCTCAAAAGCCTCAAGGGGCAGCACCTAGGTCTCGTCAATACCAACAGCTACCCCTCCATCGCCCAATGTCAAGTACCCTCCATCACCCATCTTCTTTCTCGCTCTCATTCCCTCCCTCCCTCAATACCCCAAACTCCCCAGTTCTCAGCCCCACAGGGAAGGGTTTCCTTTGTCCGAGGACACTTCTCTGTCCCTTAACCACTTCGCATCCTCACTGTCCTCCCTGGCCGGCACTGGGCCCACAGCGCACGCCTGCTGTCACCGTACTGCAGCTTCCTTCTCGGCCAGCCGTCGCCTGCTCGGCACCTGCAGCCGCACAGCCGGAGGGGCCCAGCTCACTTTACCGCTGGGACCTGGACTCCAGAGGGGACCCTCGGCACCACCCAACTGCACTCCCCTGGGCTAGTCACTCCCCGGATGCAGCTTTCATGCCTTCACTTTCTCCCGGGATTTCTAAAGCCTCTCCCCCGGGATTTCTAAAGCCTCTCCCCCATTCTCACACTCAGCTGGTAACTGTGTTTTCCAGTTCGCAGCATTCATGAGAGAACTCTACATACTCCGTCCACCAAACTGACCAACCCTTGAGTCTGGGCTCACCGGCTCCGGCTCCTTCCCTGCTGCCATGGACAAGGCACCCCTAATTTAGCTAAAGCTGGCCCCAGATCCCACCCCTCTTGTCTAATCAAGGTCACTGGCTTCAGTAAGGTTTCCTCCTTTCCCATGATTAGACAAAGTGTTTATTTCACTGTACAAAAATGCACAGAAAAATATTTGGAAAAACACGTGCCAAACTCTCACCAAGAAAACAGTGTGCCTGGAATTTGGCTTTCCAGATAAATCTCAGAATTCTCCTTGATTATCTGTGTGATCTGACTCTGCCCAAGTATGTTCTTTCATCCCGTTGCGAAAATACAGCTGCAGGCCTCCACAAGAAATAAGCCAGAACTGCAAGCACGTCCCATAGTTCAGTAATAGAGTACAGGATTCTCACTGACTTGATCATTTTTTCCAGCAAGCACTCTGTTAACAAAGTCCACTGAATCTGTATTACTTAGGTAAGTAATACAAATGACAAACAAGCTATATGAAAAATCATAGATAAGAAGCTTGAGTAGTTCACACAGACTGGTCTCTAATCACATGAACTTGGTGTGTGGTGTGTGTGCATGCATGGTCTTTACCACACAGACAAATTCTCTCCCTACTCCATACCAATGATAGCAAGCATTCTGGCCCATGTGTGGGTTAGAATCACTTACACCTCTAACGTAAGGGAATAGAATTACTTGGTTTCTCCCCTTTGGGTGGGGAGAGACTCGCCAGGCTTAGGGTCTCCTGATTCCCCTCAGCACATTCCAAGCCCACGTGGGCAGGAGTACGAGAGCGTGACAGAGAGCAGAGGCATCTCTAGACACGCCTTTGAGATAAATGCTCAGGTCGTCAGTGTCCCAAGAACTGCATGTCACTGCTGTATTACCTGATTTGGGCACAAGGATCTTCTCGCCTTAAAGGATTCATTTCCCGTCTAATGAGGAACCTGCTGATCTGAGGGCAGCGCAACAGAACAGATGACGAGTGCATCACCTCATCTTTGTGCTTCTCTGGCTTGAGCTGTGTGAGGCGGCCATACGGGACCCTTGCCTCCCTTGACATGTTTGGCAACTATCAGATCCATTTGCTAAATGTATCAAAACTGAGAAGAATCACAGTAGCTGGAATCCTTTCTCTTTAGCTCTGAGCCTTCAGCATGATTCATGTTTTATCTGGGTCTTGCTACCTTCTAAAGGAAGTGCCAAGATTGAAGAATGACCCAACGGAGAGCCACGTCACAACTGGAAGCCACGTCACAAAATACTTTGGCATAAACCAGACGGCGGAGGCCTGCACCCTGAAACCCTGCAGTGGCGTAATAACGTAGCTCTAGCAAACCATCCCAGGTCATCGCCAGAAAGCTACATTAACCCCAGGCGGTGGGCCTTCCCGGGCAAAGCCCCCGAGTCATGCTGGAGGAGGGCCCACAAGCTACTGACGCATGCGGGGCTGCCCTCGCGCACACAACAGTGCCCCAATCCTGCCGCCGCCTATGGAAGGACCGTGTCCAGCGGAACGACTGCATCAGGACCCGCAGACCTTCACCAGAGAGAAAGAGTGAAGTCAGCAAACAGAACCAAGACAGCCGGGGCCATTCGACTGCACTTCTCCACCCCAAAAGCCGCTTTTTAAATGAGGTATGACTGACCTACAACACTGTGTGAGTTTGCGTGTATGACATAACGATTCGGTGTTTGTATATCCTGAGAAGTGAGCCCCACAGCAAGTCCAGTTCATACTCACTGCCACAAGTTACGATTCTTTTTTCTTGTGGTGAGAACTTCTACGACCTACTCTCTCAACAACTTCCAAATACAAACAAAAACAACACAGTATCGTTAACTGTAGTCCACTATGCTGTACAGTACGTCCGAGACTTACTGATCTTCTAAGCAGAAGTTTTTATCTTCTGACCACCTTCAAATCTTGATTATGCAAAATTTCAAGCATACAGAAAAATGGAAAGAACTGTACAATAATCACCTAGCCCCACTATTCTAGATTCAGCAAATGTTAACATCTTTGCTGTATTTGCTTGCCCTCTCTTGGTCCATCCACCCATCTGTCCCATTTGGAAGTAAGTCGCAGACATTATGAAACTTGGCCCCTAAATACTTTGGTTTGCATTTCCTAAGAATGTGTATATTCTCTTCATAATTCCAATACCATCGCCGCATCTAGGGAAATTAACATTATTTCCCTAATATATACAGAACATAATAAAATCTCTCCAATGGACCAAAAATGTTTTTTACAAGGTTTTTACAACCAGATTCCAATCAAGGCTGACACACAGACTCTGTAATCCAGACAGTCTGTATCTGTATCCCTCCCCAAGAATACTTTAATCTCTATTATGCTTTGGTCATGCACGAGGCCTTCTCTCCAAATCCATCGGAAACCATGGTGTAGAGGAGAGAGGACCAAATTGTGGTTAGATTTAAACTTTAGTCCTAATTCTTATGCCGTATAAATAGACTGATCTTACAAAACTCACTGACCTCTTTGGATCTTACACTCACTTCCAAAATGAGATAGTGCAACTAAATGATTTTAAGGACAGATTAGACACCCAATAAATGTTTGATTTAATTCCATTAGGAAATGAAGGTATCTCTTACTATCTCAACTCTTGGTATCTGAATTCTTACTTGTCTGCACTCAAGAGCTGAGCAGAGTCACACAAATCCCTTGTTACCTGGCACTTGGGAACCAATTACACAGATTTAATCTCCCTCATTATCTGAACCCAAGGACAAAGGGATTGGACTATCAAGGGGTTCCTGGGTTGACTAAGCACCTACCAGACAGATGTGCCGATAGAGCCCGCCATGCTAGACATTATGGAGAATACAAAGGTAAACGACACATCTTGGATTTCGGAACAAATTAAGGGGGTTAAGAGAAAAGAACCTTGAGGGCCAGGGGAAAAGTGGCAGAGGTGGGGAAAACGGGCACCAGGCCCACAGTGTGCCAGCCATCCTTACCCAGGATGCGCCAGTCACCCTTACTGAATAGTTTCCTCACAGACATGAACATTAACTACTCTTATATGAGCATCAAATGAGAGAACAAGTGGAAAAGACTTTAAACGCTGTAAAGCACCATATGGATGTAAGTGGTGAATCGAGAAAGGACAGCTGAGGTCTGAGGAGAGCACGAAGGAAGGGCGCATTGGGCAAGTGTCCCTTGTGGGGAAGGTGGCGGGCGTACTCTGTCATGCCTGAGAAGGACTGAGAAAGGACGGGGACACAACAAGAGGAACTGGAAGAGCACCAATCTCGTCCGCCCTCCGAATCACTAAGGGCTCTGAGTCTGTTCTCTAGACAACAGGCAACCCACTGACAGGCCTTCTAGCAGAGGGCGACACCATCTGACATGCAGCTTTAAGAAGTTAGTGGCCGCAGAGAAACACTGGAGAGAAAATGGAGGCAGGAGGCGAGCTGGGGCGCTGCGGGGCTACAGTAAGGCCTTGGGAGGAAAAGGAAAGAGAGGCTGTGTGAAGCCTCCGCAGATAAAACCGACAGCCTTCCTAGGATGTGCCTTTAACGGAACATCTGCCGGGCTGACCTGGGAACAGAGGCCTGTAAAACGGTTCTTAACAGTTTCTATGTGAGAAACAATACATCCACCACACTCCGTTTCATCCTACAGAGAAAGGGGCTTGGTGTAGGCACAAAATTATTGCCAAAATGATTTAAGATCATTCTCGTTTCTTTTCTACGTCTGGACTTACTTCTGTACCAGCCTTTAATATAAAACAAAAATAATAATCTATGTTCACAAAGTAGTCTTTCCTTCACTCTTAACTTCTGTTTTATCCTACAAATATTCTAGGTCCCTTTGGAAGCAGAATCCTGATAGCAACCCAAAGGCTGATACGAGAGTGGTGGAAGGAAGGACACAGGTGAAACAGGAGAGGCAGGGAGGGCGGGGCTCGGCTGACTGAGGGGACACAGGCCTGGGACTGACGGCTGCAGCATGAAAGGAGTTCTACAAACTTGGTACCTGATTTTCTTTAGCAGAAGATTCCAAGAAAGCCGCATTCCAAGACTCTGCTAACGCTTTCCCTTCTTCATAACTGATCACCCTAGAGGAAAAAGAAAATTCTAATTAATGTACTGAGCTCTTTATTTAGAAAACATCTATAATTATTAACAAACCAGGCTCCACTTTTATCAACTGTTTTCTTGTAATGCAGAAGAATTCTCTCTGCTCAGTCTTATCATCCAGTGTGTACCACAGAGGAGCACTTTATTAATGCCTAAGTTGGGGAACGGGACAGATGTGGCCTTTTGGGGTTACCCATGCTCCAGCAAGCCCTCGAGGTTCAGAGAACACGACTGTGTTTCCCAGTACCCAGGACACGGACTATTTCACAGCGAGGTGGGCTGTGAGTACCCGAGGAAGGGCAGCCATGAAGGGGCCCACAGCTCAACTCTGCTGCGCGCAGGCGACGGGCATCCAGCTGGTGAGTCTCCTCGTCTCCAGACTGGGCTCCGCGGCCCTGTTCGCTGACCTAATCCTGGCTGCAGTACTCAGAAATTATTTGTTGAATGAATAAGTGCTTCTGTGGTCTCTTTAGAGTCCACTTTGCACAAAATGGTGGAAGAACCCAAAGCTAATTTCCTACCACCTTTGCTCCCTCTTTTCTAGAGAAAACATTGGTCAGGACGGGTGAGATTTTATATTGGTTTTGCTGCTTGGGTACACTCACTGCCATATTTCTGAACACAGATATGCTACACCTAAGAATATTTTCACCATGAGAACAATAATTACAAAAAGTACTTTAGTGCATACATCTCAGACTTGATTTTATAAATCAATTATTCAGAAGTTACATACCTTTCCATATGGAGGTCTTTCTTATTTCCAACCAACATAATAGGTATTCTAGTAATGTGAGACAAAAAAGCCAAAGGAAACTAGTCAGTGCCAGATCTTATTGTTCAGAAGACAGAACTATAAGGAGTGTATCTAACAAAAGAGAGAAACTATTACTACTTACTGCACTTTCCCCACCATGTCCAACAATTTGCCATGAATAACTTTAATCACTTCAAAACTGTAAAACAGAAGCATGAAATAAGACATCCATCTTAGTGTTATATAATGTTTATCATGGGAAAAACATATGTCATCAACTCACCATTTTAATATAAAATAACCTGAACACAAGGAATTCCTTAATTCTTTCCTACAAATCTTTCTTCATGTGTGCATGTATTTGACACCCTTACTGAGAATATTCAAGATGAAATAGGTGAGATATTTAAATGGGAAAGTCTAACACTTGGCTGACAAATCACATAAACACGAATTTTAATCTCAATTTGTAGGATGTTCTTTAGCTAGAAGGCCCTAGCAGTCAGCCTGTGATCCACATTAATATGGTGAAAACACACAAAAAGTAAATCAATTTATGTAGTTCCCATTTCCATTAGCAAAAGAGCTCAGATCATGTGCAATCACTATCTAGGCAGCTGGAGGGAAGAAATACAGTTTTTATTCTATCAGTGTCAGAGAACGTCTACTGGGATATTTTTTCTCCCTTAACAACCTATTTGCTCCACAAGACAATCACTGAAAAACATTTAGTCTGGTAAGTCTGAGTTGCTATAACCAATTCCATCAGATCCTTTAAAACGATGAATGCTATCTATGCAGAGCAAACAAACTCAAGCAAGCAGCAGGAGTGAGTCCTACCTTTTGATTGATGTAACAGAATACACAAGAATGTAACCATTAATATCTATGGAGTATGTCTGAGGAAAGATGGAGTATTCATCCTGTGGGAGAAAAAATAATTCCATTTGAGTAGAAGTCTTCATGTAGCATAACAAGCAATCTGTACCCAAAGTTTTTCACACATGACCTGGTCAAAGAAATCAAAGGAAACAAAGTGGATTAAAATATTCTTCTAGAAACACAGCCTACACACTTAGGACTTATTTAAGACTGGTTTGGGGCTGATAATTGCTTTAAGCCAACATTCGAAAAGCGTCTCTGGCTATTCTAAGACTTTTGTGGAGAAGGCTAGTAACTTCTGCAATTCCTGGGGAAAGAGGATGGAAGGAATGACAAGACAACAGGTCCTGTGATCTTATAGGGGGCGAAAAGGACTAACAGTTCTTTTATGGAGATAAAGTCCAGAACTTTAGTTCTCATGGGAAATTCATGAGTGCTTCTGGTTTATTCCATAAATCTGTATTTTCCTACCTAAAACTGTTACGTCCTCACTAAACCTATTCTCTGCGTGTAAGTCACAACGGCCGGAGTGCCAGTCTATTGGTCGTTAGTGGGTTGTCCCCAGCACTTGAGAGGGCGAGGAGAGAGGAGAAAATCAAAACGCTAGACCGGGTGTACCCAGACTTCTGAGGATCAAACAGTTATTTATTGAGCAAGTTTAGGAATTAAAAACAAAGGTACACATTACATAACAATGTATCAGTACCCAGTTTCATAAAGCAGCTTTAGGAAACTCAAAACTCAGCTTTAGAATTATTAAAGCATACTAAAGGTCTAATTAGCATACTAAGCTGCTAATTATTAAAGCATACTAATTGTTTTAGGACAATGCCACTGCCTGGTATAAAACATTTTATTCTCTGTTGAAATATAATTATCAACATGCCACTTATCCTAAGCACTATTATAGAAAATCAGGTCAAACCATCATTATATCAAGTAACTGTCTCTGTTAACTTTGCAATTCCACAGTATGGTTACAACTAATGTTCATGATGGCCCTGAATTACTGCCCCAAATTATTGCTATTTACCATAGTAATAAAGTATCTTTAAAAAATAAAAATCAAAGGAAAATTAAGTTTTACTCTCAGCTCTTTGATATCATCAATAGTAATCATTCATCAGAAGACAGCGTTTCTACATCTCAGGGCTTACCACATTTGCAAAATAAAACCTTTGTTTTCATTATCAGTTTCATTAAATTGAGTTCATTTTAGTGTTAAACTCTGAGAATGCATTTTTGTTAATGGAATGAGAGGTCTTTAAACCCAGATTAAAAACAAAATTCCAAATGATTTTAGTCGCCAGCTGAGCTGCAGTATATCCAGAGTTCAAACCACCTTTTCCCTGAAGAGAAGACAGGGAAATAAAGAAGAGAGTCATCGTATTTCAGAGGCGTGGTGCAAACCGCCACCAGTTAGGAAGTATCACGGGGGGCGCCTGGGTGGCTCAGTTGGTTAAGTGACTGCCTTGGGCTCAGGCTGTGATCTCCAGATCCTGGGATGGGGCCCCACGTCGGGCTCCCTGATCAGCAGAGAGTCTGCGTCTCCCTCTCCCCTTCCCCACTCGTGCTTTCTCTCTCGCTCTCAAAAAAAAGAATAGTATCAGTCGAAAAGAGATTAATAAATTCAACTAGATGAAAATGAGAAAGTTCTTCATGACTAAAAACCTTTCAAACCAAAACCTTGCGGCTCACGTCACATACAAAGCTGATTTTCTGCGCATTATGAAGGGGTCTCTCAAACCAATAAGCCAAGACGCTCCGCCCAAGAGAAGAAGGGCAAAGTGCACGGACAGGAGAACTCCCAGGGGAGGAGACACAAATGCCCTCCAACAGGAAAACACGCTCAAACTCCTTCACGAGAAAAACAGTACTTATTAACCGGGATACTCTCCCTCACCCACTGGGGCGGCACTAACAAGAGATTCGCGAAGACACTGCGCACATGCGCGTGCGGGCGAGAGCGCGCACCCGCTCCTCGCGGGCGAGAACGTAACTGCCGGCCGGGGACGTGCTCTCGCGCGCGCGCACGGCCCCAAATGACGCAAGACGCTGACGGCCCGGGCCCCCGCCGGCGGCAGCGAGGCTGGGAACCACGTCCGGGCCCATCAGTCGTCCGAGTGGGCCGTAGCCAAGCGACACGGGTCATGCAGCCACGCGGCGGAAAACCGCGGCGTGTGTATGGCTGTGGGATCACCTCCAGGATGGAGACACGGAGATACCTTACTTCAAGCGAGAAAAAGAAAGAAACCCCAACTCTATCTGTACGTTCATGCAGACAATATCCGGGAAGCACATTCCATAGACCGGTGATGGGGCTGCTCTCGGAGGGTGGAGCTAATGCCGCCGGACGGGGAAAGCCCGCAGTTTTACTATTTACCGTTTTGCGCTATTTTATTTCTGTAACATGTGCATTTAGTACTATTTTTTTTTAAGATTTTATTTATTTATCTGAGAGAGAGAGAGAGAATGAGATAGAGAGCATGAGAGGGGGGAGGGTCAGAGGGAGAAGCAGACTCCCCGCCGAGCAGGGAGCCCGATGCGGGACTCGATCCCGGGACTCCAGGATCATGACCTGAGCCGAAGGCAGTCGCCCAACCAACTGAGCCACCCAGGCGCCCCTATTTAGTACTATTTTTAAAAAACTGTAATTTAATACTTGTTTTAAAAGGGGGGATTTGACATTATAAACACGACTGCCACTGAGTCACTTGTCAGAGTCTACTTAAATTTGGCCCAAACAAAATCTTTCATGCAAACTAAAAATAATCGACCTGTATTTAACTATGTTCATCATCATCCCTTGCTGGGCAATGAAACCAGCTACGATATAAACTACTAAGTAAATAGGATTTGCCATCATATGTTGCTACAGTTTTACTCCTAAAACGTGTACACCAGTGAACAAATGTGCTCTAGATGGCGGTGACAGGATCTGTCCTTTCTTCATCATCTCCCCCGCCACTGGGGGTCTCAGCCCCAGCCCAGCGGAATCCAATTTTCTTTTCTTTTTTAATTTTAATGATTTTCTTTTTTTTTTTTAAAGATGTATTTATTTATTTGACAGCGCACGCACAAGCAGGGGGAGTGGGAGAGGGAGATGCAGGCTGCCTGCTCAGCAGGGAGCCCAACGCGGGGCTCGATCCCAGGACCCTGGGATCATGACCTGAGTCGAAGGCAGACGCTTAACGACTGAGCCACCCAGGCGCCCCATCAATAAAACTGTTATTTGAAAAAAAAAAATCTAAATGCAAGACCCTCCATAATCTAGTTGTGGACCAAAGAGTTTATTTTTTATTTATTTATTTTTATTTTTAAAGATTTTATTTATTTATTTGACAGAGAGAGACACAGCGAGAGAGGGAACACAAGCAGGGGGAGTGGGAGAGGGAGATGCAGGCTGCCTGCTCAGCAGGGAGCCCAACGCGGGGCTCGATCCCAGGACCCTGGGATCATGACCTGAGCCGAAGGCAGACGCTTAACGACTGAGCCAGCCAGCGGCCCCAGAATCCAATTTTAGAAACAGCTCTTGGAGCAGCTGTAAATGCGACATCTCATCCAGTTGCTACCGAACGAGGTGTACGTGGTTCTACAGCACAAGGAAGTGCGCGCATCGCATAATCACGGATCACAGATACGAACATGACCTTCTATTCCATAGTCTCCCAACTGAAATATTCTGTGCAAAAATTCTCTAACTATTCTTATCTGGCCGTAAGAGCAAGACAGGCAGAGCTAGTCACTGACCTTGCCTTTGCCATCCCTCACACCATACACTCACTCCCCGAGATCTCTGCTTCTTTGGAGGGGGGGCATCCTTTATTATTCTGTCATCAAAACAGTTAAAGGCATGTGATGCTCCAGTGTACACTCAGACTTTAGAGCAAAACAGAACCCTAGAGGAACACATCTTCTATTTTGATAAGGAGTCAACATAAAGAAATTTTCTCTCCAGAAAAATGTTTTCAAGGACAGCTCTACTCCAAGTATAAGCGACACCCTCACTGTTCCATTCAGTGTCTTGTTAACATCAACATCAAGTTGCCATGCTAGGCACTCCTCTGGCCTTAGAAGCATCAAAGATCTACAAATAAGGACCAAATCCTCGTGAAACTCACACATCCACTCTAGACCATGCGACAGTCCTGTGAAGGCAGGCACTACATCGCCAATTTACGGAAGAAGAATCTGAGGCACAGAAAGGTTCATAACTTTCTCAAGGTCAGCTGGTTAGTAAAAAAACCCAGGATTCAAGCCCCAGCAGCGTGACTGCAGATCCACATTCCAACAACTCTGAAATACTGGTTCTCCTCCTGGCCTACTACAAAATGTACTTCTACAATAACGTCACATAAAAGTGATTTGCCAATTTACATCCTCATCCCCACTTTCCAGAATCTTAATGAAAATTCAAAATGAAGATATAAAAAGCAAACCCAAATCTTGATGATGTCAGAGGCCCACTATGAATGATGTGGCCGTATTTCTTCGCCCAGGACACTACCGTTTAACACCTGCTGTCCCAGCATAATTATTACCAGGGCTCCCTTCACTCTTAAAAGTGTCTTGTTTTAGGCAATAAATTACAGTCACCTTAACCATAAAAGATACAAACTCTGAGAATCCAATACAATGTCTTATCCCAGAGGCTCTTCTATGGTAACTTCTAAAATAAGCTGTGTCCTCCACATCCTCATTCTCCTATGAAGACTTCTCCTGCTCCCCTTGTTCCTTTAAGCTCCATACCCCCTTTCTGTCACTGACAGGTACCTGCAGAGTAAGAGCCTAGGACGGCTCAGCTCTAAGACAGCCATCGTGAGGTCTGGTGACGGAAGCCCCTTACACCCATCACCAGGGGGCATGTGTAGGGTGAGCGGGGGAGACACGTGGTAGATCTCTATGATATACACATCCCATTTATTTTCTTTGAAGCTTCCAGAATTGAAACTCCAGGGTTTCTTCAGTGCTCACCCCCCTCAATATAACTATTTTCTTGCTCACTAGGGGGCTACACTTTGCTTCTGTGTTCACTTCAAAACATAAAGCAGAGGGAGTTCATTCCAAACCCATAAGAAGGCCACACCATTCTAGGTCTATCTCAATCTCCCCAGGTTCCAGAAGAAAAGCCTCCATTTAACATGGCAGACCAGATTACACTACACGCACCCTCCTGCTAGTCTGATCCTTTGTCGATTGTAAAATGCAAGGAAGGACTCAGAGACCAACATCCCCACATCCAGCAGCTGTTTAACAGATTCAGCCCAACAGAATGGTTTCTAGTAAAGGCTGGACTGGGCGCCATGGGAATGGGGAAGTTTAGCCATCAGGGTTAAGGGGTTTGTTTGTACTCTTCAAGTTCTCTGAACTTCTTTCACCCACTGCTTCTAGTCAATTCCCTTGGTCTTCCATTCCTCAAATCCCTACTATGTTAAACTGTGACTATGGTGTTGGTTTATTTTTATTTTTTTGGTTATTTAATCTTTGGCAATTACCTACTATCTACAAATCAAATCTACACTCCCTAATCTAGTAATCATGTGACCTATCAATAAACCAGCTCCTTTCTGCCCTATACCTTTCTCATGCCTTTCCTCGGGAAAAGACTTACTTTTGTCTTGATGTAACATACATATTAGAAAGGAAGAAAAAAGTACTAATAGGATCCTGATATAGAACGCAAGTTTACAAAACGGAAATACACTATCCTACGGATAAATACAAACCTTCCCAATGCTATGAGTATATTTCACACAATTCTAAAGTAGAAGAGCAAGTTAATGATTTGGAAAAACTGCCATAAATGTCTTGGTAGACAGCCCGTTAATAAACCCCAAAGGGTTTCCTTGGCATTGCTGTTGTGCTGAAGCATCGATGGTGGGGCCGGGACTGCCAGACAGAAGGACAGCGAGAAGATTGAGACACTAGAGACTTACTTGCCCTGCTGTGTCGACAAGTTGAAGATGATATTCTTGTCCATTGACTGTGATCAATTTTGTGAAAGCTACAGGGAATAAAAGGAATTAAATATTAGTTTAAAAAGTTGACTTTAGATCACTTAAAGCTTGAACACTGATGACCAACTAAGCAGAGTCCCTAATAAGTTCATAAAAAGATCCCATAAAACAAAATGGAACAGATCACCCCGAGTTTACAGATTCTTCCCCACTTCCACAATTTAACTAAGAAATACTGGCTGACTGATGAAAATCAAGGTTTAGTACGCCTTGAACCTTTATCAAAGGAACTGAAATGAGGCAACAATTCGTATCCTATAAGGCATTTGAGTGCTCTATCTATGGCTAAGCCTTCCTCTTGTGAAAAAGTGAGATACACGACATTAAGTTTGAGATCTAGAATGAACCCAAAGCACAAAACTTTTCATTAATTTATAGGAAGTCTGGTGTCAGAGCACAAAGAGCCAATATTAACTGCAGTGTTGAGAACTTTCAGTACATAAAAAAATTAACAATTTTATTGACAGATAAAACAGCAATGGAACAGGTGTTCTGCGTGAAGCCATCATGCCCACTCAGCTTAAGGATCCAAGCAATTTTGTGACAACTTCTTTTCCCTACCAAGGGGGGAAAAAAAAAACCAGACTCAAGTAACTTCCGGAAAAGTCAATTCAGAATTCTGAGGAGATAGACTTCAAACAAATGCAGACAAAAGAGGAAAGAACTATTAATAGTAACAGATTATTAAAGTGTAACCATCTGGAACCCTGGCAACGAAAGGGGAACTGATGTCTTCTGCATTCCCAGTCCCAGCCATTTGTTTCAGACATGCGTCCTCCAATCTCCTGGCTGCCCACTCTACTTGACTAGAACTGTGCAGCAGAATCTATCCCTTGCACGGCTGGGAGAGGACCCACTGTTGCCCACGGTCTCCCACAGCCAAAAAGGAAAGCAGAAACAGACACAGGAATACTAGGAGAGAAAACTTTAAGTGACAAGGGGGATACAGAGAGATCTTATCTGAATGCTGAGTTCCACAGGGAGAGAAAGGGATGCTCATGCTAGCATCGTAGCCTCCTAGTGCAAGCAGGGGTGCGGGAAGCAGGTGGGCAAAAATCACAGACCAGGCCACCCAAGCTGGTTGCCACACTTTCATTCTTGTGCCTTTGATGGAAACGACCACTTTAGGGAATAATTAAATCAGATGAAAACTGAATCCAAGTATTTCAAGATAGGGAGTACCCAATATATTCGGTTTCGTCAATTCTAAGAAAAAATTCTACTGTATTTTTTTCCCCCACATTGCAACCTCTCTGAACTTGGGATGCATCTTGCATTGACTGCGCTTTCGATCACTGTCAGCCAGGGGGCAGTCATGATATTCCTGTGGGAATACCTGCCTCGACACCTTACTCAGGTAAGCCCAAAATGTGCATTTTAGACTTGGTGAAAATTACGGACGTAACAGCGGTGAGCAATAGAACAAGTAACCTCCAATTAGAACTAAGTAATTGTGGTTATGAAGTAGAATGTAATTACTATGAAAACATCATTCATTCATGCAAGATTTATTTCTTGAGTACCTATTATCCCCAGAAGCACTGTTCTGGGTGCTCTCGAAATACTGCAGCTGACCTCAGTGAGCTTCCAGCCCCGGGGAAGGAAGGCAGACCCAGACACTGTCAGTCATCTTCTCTGGGAGAGGAGCATCCAGGCGGAGATCAAACAGCGAATGACAAAGCGCCATGAGAAAAAGCAAGAAGGTCGGCACAGCAGAGGCTGAGACAGTAGTGGACAGGTAATCAGGTTGGGGAGGAGGCAGAAGACCTTATAGGAGATGGTAAGGACTTCAGAGTTTTATTCTAAATGTGATGGGAAACCAAGGGTTTTAAGTAGGGGAGTAACCTGGTCTGATTTATATTTAAAAGAGATGGCTCTAACTATGCTGTAACAGAAATGGACAAGAGCGGACAGAGGCCACTGGTGGGAGCCCATAGTACAGTGCCTATACAGACTGGGGATCTGAAGACGACAGTGGTCTGGATCAGTGGGGCAGAGAGGAGTGGAGAGCCAGGGTGGAATTCTGGGTGTAGTCAAAGGTAGAGCCCAGAAGGATCTCTGACTGGCTGGAAGTAGGGTGTGAGAGGATGGAGAGGCAGGACACCTCCCAAGGTTTTTGGTCTGAGCAAGGAGACCTATGAATCGCCATTTACCAATTCGGGAAAGCCTGGGGGAGGAGCACTGGGGATGGGGGAGGACGGAAACGAAGAAGCCTACACCCAAGGGGAAGTGAGGGCAGCTAAATAAAAAAGCCCAGAGTTTGGGGCAGAGGGTGGGGCTGGGGCTACTGTGAGACCAGCAAATTCCCGGAGAGAGGGGCTGATCGCTGGTGACCAAGCAGAGAGAAAGCCTGAGCCTGATGTCGGATCCCACGGGCACCCTACGCTGCCAGGTCCAGATGATGAAGACTCAGCCAAGGAGACGGGAGAAATACTGGCCACGAGCTTAGAGTAAAAAGGGAGGACGTGTAATTGTACATAAGATGTAAGAAATAAAATTATTAATCAATGTTTTAGTATATTCTTGCACATAAAAAGGATGTAAATCCTCCAACGCACAGCAGTAAAATGAAATCGAGGCCCTTCCATCTGTCACGGAAAACTGCCTCTTCTTATTACTGTAGAAAAAAAAGGAAGTGTAATAAGAGATCTGTCAGTTCCATAAACTAGGAACCAATTCTTCTGCGTGCTGTGTTCAACCTCCTGCAGCAGCAAAAAGCTGGCTTTCTCCTCGTCTCACTTTCCTCGAACCCTCTCTCCCTCCCCCTCCCTTTTTCAATCACTAGAGAAATTAATCCAATTTCCAACAGAAAATCCTGAAATTGCCCTGAGCAGACTAATAGCTACTTACTAGTAAAGCCTACTAAAATAAGCAAGACAATAGATTTCTAAAACTTGAAATTCATAAAGTAAGATTTGTGTTACTAAAGTGTATTGAGGACTCCTAATTCATATCCTACTGAGAAGCCCACCCACCATGCAATGCTTGATAATGCTGCAAAGCTCCTAATTAGAACTTTCCAATTTTCTGGGAAGGTTTATTAGTGCATCAACAATACCACCTTGAGATGGCAGAAGTTGTAAATTGCTATTCCTCCTTAATTTATAAACTACTGCTACTAAATTTCACCATAGCAATTTGGTTTGTATTGAGTTGTTAGATTAACAATACAGTAGATAATAAAAGCACATTTGCGTAGGCAGTATTTTTGGTATAAAAATTTCCCCAAACTAGAAAATACATGGTTTTATTGATGTTATTTTCTTATATCCCATTTTAAAAGGTGACACAGACCCAGAATTTTTGCTTTTGTGGTGATGCTTCATAGAGCTGTGTCACCACTGAATGTCTGTTATGAACCACTTGTTCTAGGTTATAAAGTTAAGTGTAAAATAATTACCGGATTATTTCCAGATTTACAGAATGCGGTGCTTCTTTTTTTTTTTTTTAAAGATTTTATTTATTTGAGAGAGAGAGAATGAGAGAGAGCACGAGAGGGGGGAGGGTCAGAGGGAGAAGCAGACTCCCCGCCGAGCAGGGAGCCCGATGCGGGACTCGATCCCGGGACTCCAGGATCATGACCTGAGCCGAAGGTAGTCGCTCAACCAACTGAGCCACCCAGGCGCCCGAATGCGGTGCTTCTTAAAACCATCCATTCATTTGTTAGCAACAGGCTTACGACAACCGTTCCATTTCTCATTCCCTGTAATCACTGAACAGTGTTTTTGACCAAACAGAGGAGAATAAGGTGGAGGAAGGATTTCTGCCTTGGTTAGATGGTCAGAAGCATGGTAAACAGAAACTCATGTCTGCATATGCCTCATGAACTTTTAAGCCATTCATCTACCCTGATATTCATTTCGCTCCTGCCTAAAGACTTTAATAAATATTTTTAGTCCATTTTTGAGATGAAAAAGTCTATTACTGAACACTAAGTATTAGATAGGGAACATTAAAAACACAGTTAAAGATGATGTCGACAGCCTTCAAAGTAGGGTCACCTCATTCAATTTCTGCGACAATATCAAGGTAAGAAAGCTGGACATTCACTGGATTGACTACTTACATATAAAGAAAATCTATTTATATACAACACCACGACTTTCCCTCCACCTCAACTTTAAGTGGTACAACGACACACAATTGTAAGAACCACTTTTATGAGCAGGGCCTACCAAGAAAACTATATTCTACTCTTCTATGAATAAAATGCCCAAATGAGCCTTATCTCTCTTTAAGGACACACAATTCTAAACAGTTACATATAGCAAATATTAAGGCCATGACCACAATTTTCTTGTGTTCCTATTCCAACGGAGAGAAAACCAAACTTGTTCATGTAGCATTCAAATGAATCTGCTCCTCCCACTGGCATACCTACTATTCTGTAAGTGACAGCCAAACAAATCAACACAGGATGTGTATGTAGTCAGGACTCCTCCTTTCCAGATACCAACAGAGGTTACTTTCAAACCCGGGTCTTCCCCGAGTCGGGTTAGCAACCAACAGGCTTCCTTGCCACCAGAATACTGGGACATGAAGGATAGGTGCATATTTTAAGTCAGAGGTGGGCAAACTCTTCCTGTAAAGGGCCAAACAGTCTCTGTTCCAAGTATTCAACAACTCTGCTATTGTAGAACAAAAGCAGCCACAGACACTGTATGAATGAATGCACATGGCTGTGTTCCAATAAAACTTTATTTATGGACGCTGAAATGTGAAATTCACGTAACTTTCACAGGTCACAAATATTCTGCTTTTGATTTTTTTTTTTTTTAAAGATTTTATTTATTTATTTGACAGAGACACACAGAGAGGGGAACACAAGCAGGGGGAGTGGGAGATGGAGAAGCAGGCCTCCCGCTGAGCAGAGAGCCCGATGCGGGGCCCAATCCCAGGACCCCGGGATCATGACCTGAGCCAAAGGCAGACACTCAACGACTGAGCCACCCAGGCACCCCATGCTTTTGACTTTTTTAATTATTAAAAAAAATAAAAACCATTCTTTGTGCATGCACTGTACAAAAGGGCAGTGGGTCTTTCTGACCTATAGGCCATAGTTTGTCAACTCCCTGTTGTAAGCCTCTTTTGAAGTCTCTCTTGCAAGCTCTGGGCAGGTGAGGTCTACAAATCTAGTTGCTGAAGTGTATGAACCTGACTATTAAGTCAGCTTCATGTCTAATATGCCCATCAGGTTTTGAAGAATCCCATGTTTAAATGTGTATGTTCCTGGTGACCAATCCTGGGTTAAGTCCAGGTATCAAGAATCTGAGACGACTGGTTCTAGGGTCTACTTAGGGTTTTAAGATCGCTTGAAACAAGACCAGCTTCCAACAAACCAGCCTCCCTAGATGAAATGCTTCAGGTTTTCTTCCATGATCCTAGAATCAAGACTCTCATGGTCCTAGAATCCTTCAGGAAGATTCTGAAACCACGGATTGAAAGCGGACAAGGTAAAGGTTGTGGCTGGTCCTGTTCTCTGGTGTTTTCTGCACATGGCCTGAAATGCCAATAGACTTTAGAGCCATCTTTGTTTTCATGCTGCAACTGCTCTCCCCATCCCAGAATAGCTCACTTCTCCACAGCCTTCTTTCAACTCTTCAGGATTGGAAGGGGTTGGGGGGGTAGGGGTGGGGGAAGGGCTAGTGATTCCATAAGAGTAAGGTACAAAGGATCTGGAGTGTTTTCGTCCTTTCTTTTCAAGCGTGGAATCTTTAAGAAGGGCTACTGTTGAGAAGGAGGGGGGAAAAAAAAGATTGTGCTCTCTATTCTTGTTTTCCTGAAGCAGAGTCTGGGATAGGAGGTTCACTGTAGGACTGGATTCCTATGGAACTGAGTAACAATTTCTAGATGGTGGGATCTGGACACTGAATAAAAACCCATTTGGTGTGAATTGGATCAAACTTTTGGAAGCTTTTTGGGACCCCAGTTGGAGATCTATAGGTTTACCCCAATAAGCCCTGCCATCAAAGCCTCCAGGAACACACAATGGCTGTTTGTGTGAAGAATGCAGGCTTCTCAGTTTATAAACCCTTCAAAACAATACTTACTGTTTTCTATGGTTGGGTCGTAGGAGTCAACAAATTGGCCTTCAACAAACTGAATCGTCAATGAGGATTTCCCTATAAAAGAGAGCAAAAGCTCAGTATGTATTGGCATATTAAAGTAACAAAAAATTTAATTCTACTATTTTACAAAAAACCCCATTCTAACAAGATGAAGAGACGGAAAGTACTGGGATCACAACACACTCTTTTAATTAACTTCTGGGCAATTTTATTTTTTTATTTTTTTTTAAGATTTTATTTGACACAGAGAGAGAGAGAGAGAGAGAGAGAGCACAAGCAGAGGGAGCGGCAGGCAGAGGGGGAGGGAGAAGCAGGCTCCCCAAGGAGCAGGGAGCCCGATGCGGGGCTCGATCCCAGGACCCTGGGATCATGACCTGAGCTGAAGGCAGTCGCTTAACCAACTGAGCCACCCAGGCGCCCCTGGGCAATTTTAAAAAGGAAATAAATTTTATGAATTTGCTCTATACGAGAGGAATTTAAGCAATTAAGCTATTATGAATTAAACACTTTTGTCCCATTAACAAATATTACTGACCAATAAGCATATCACATATTCTGCTAAAGGTAAACAAACTCTGAAATAAGGTCAAAGTTAAGCTAATTTCCCCTGGTGTCCCTGAAATGTGGATATTAATTTTAATACAGAAATTAGTAAGACAGGATTTATTTCTTTGGGCTCTTTCATATATGGCTGTTAGAAATGTTACCAGGTACAGCTTTTAAAGAGGGGAAACTGAGAATATGTAACAGAAGTCTTTATTTAAAAACTACTTGAAGGGGCGCCTGGGTGGCTCAGTCGTTAAGCGTCTGCCTTCGGCTCAGGTCATGGTCCCAGGGTCCTGGGATCGAGCCCCGCATCGGGCTCCCTGCTCCGCGGGAAGCCTGCTTCTCCCTCTCCCGCTCCCCCTGCTTGTGTTCCCTCTCTCGCTGTGTCTCTCTCTGTCAAATAAAATCTTTAAAAAAACAAAACAAAACATAAAAAACTCCTTGAGGGTAGAAATCCTGTCTTCACCATTCAGTGTCAAAAGGCCTAGTGATGTCTGTCACACAGAAGACAATTAAGAAATGTTCTGGACTTCACAAAATCACTGCTAATAATTGAGCTGTGTGCTAAGAAATCAAGAGCCAGAGCCCTAAGTTCTCACCCCTCTATTCGTTACCTAAAATTTCTACTCAAGGACTTTAGACCAAGGGACTCTATAAAGACAGTGCAAGAATAGTCCAGGAAATGACAGAAGTGGTCCCTCCCAAATTTCACCCCAAACCCTTTCTTCTCTTGTACATTCTCAGAGCACATTTTAAAAAGATGCTATGGTTTTAAAATATTTAATTATCTGAGAGAGTGAGCGCACGCGCGAGCAAGCACAGGGGCTGGGGGGAGGGGCAGAGACAGAGGGAGAATCTCAAGCAGACTCCCTGCTGAGCGTGGAGCCCGATGTGGGGCTCCATCCCACGGCCTTGAGATCACGACCCAAGCCGAAACCAGGAGTCGCCTGTTTAACGGACTGTGCCACCCAGGTATCGCAACATTTTATTTATAAGTAATCTCTACACCCAGCATGGGGCTTGAATCTCCCACCCTGAGATCAAGAGTCGCACGCTCTTCTGACCGAGCCAGCCAGGCGGCCCCTCAGAGCACTATGAATTTTAAACACGTGCTCCACACGCTTGCTGCATCTCACTGAACTTCCATCTCAAAAGATCTTCAGGGAGAGAGGCTGTACCAGGAACCTTCTGCCCCTGGGGTTTAGGTTGTGCTTGCCCTCCCCCAGTCTGTGCAGAGGGCAGCTGACAGGTGGCATGTTTTCCCAACAAAGGCAGGCCCTACATACTTAGAAATCAATGAATTAATAAACCAGTTTAAGAGCGGGAGCTGTGGGGAGACAACTAAAAAACCCCCAAGTAGGCAGGCCTATTCTACTCCTCACAAGCAGTTAAACACACAGCTCAAATGTTTCTGGAATTATTAAAACCTGAAATCATTCTCTACAAAGCAGCCTCCAAGAGCTTTTGACAATTACATGTTACCTCCCTGCTTAAAATCCTCACTGCAATCACAATAAATTCCCAACTCCTAACCAAGGCCCACAACACCAGGCCCTCCCTGCCCAGGCCCTGCTCTGCCTATCACCCTAACCTCTCTCCGCCACCGCCCCTCTCCCCAGACCCGCCCAGGCCCCACTCACATCCCCGTCCCTTTGTTTCAGCCATCTCCGCAGATCTCCGCACATGACGCACTTTGTCATTATTCTGGTCTGGGATCAAACGTCCCTTCACCAGAGAAGCCTCCGCTAAGACCGCCCCATCTATGGTGGCGCCCACTCCCTACCGGTCACAGCGATCACTGCCATCCTGCTTTGTTTCTTTTTAGTGCCTGACGTTATCAGACGTTATCTCCAACTCATTAGCCCACTGAGACCAGCGTGGTGGCGGATGCACTGCAGACACTGTCATTTCCGAACATGTGACTGAAATTAAAACTCACATGCCCTAAGGGCACTCTCATACACTCCAGATACTACACAAGATCTCAATTTTATATACATACGTGACCAGGAAACACAGTTCAACAGGAATTCAGAAACAGTTCTGTCGTATTTGGTAGCCAACCACAGGCCTGCCTGTGCTCTACAGGATGCAGGGGTCATCCAGGAGCCCACACACTGCAAAGGGACCGTGTTCAAAAGAAACCACGTTATCTAAACTAGCTCATAAAGAGCATTTAGCTTAAAATACAGCAAAACTATTTTATGTAATGAAATAGCAAGGAAAAAACTATTAAGTTTAAGGAATAAGAAAATTCTTATTTACATTGAATGCTACGGCTTGAAGCAAAAGAAATTTAATGAGAGAGAAGAAACTTCTTTTGGGGCTTCTGAAGAGTACTTCTAGGCACTCTGGTGGGCTTTTGAAACCCTTCTGTAGGCTACGAGGGGGGGCGGTTCTGGCTTGTAAATGGACACAGGGAAGGAAGAAAGCAGACAGTAATTTTTTCTGAAGGTAAATGGGCAAGAGTTACAAGGGATTAAAAGGATTTTTACACATTTTCCAAAGTAGAACTGGATTAAAAATAGTGAAAGAAAGGGGTTAAGTACGGTGTACATAAGCCCCCCAAGGGGAGGGCAGGCACACACAGCTGTCAAAGATAGGCCTTACCCCAGGAGTGAAGGGACGGGACAAGAACCTCAGGAGTTATCACAGGAAACTGAAGAAAGTTACATTAAATAAGATCGCATGAGATTAAGTGCAACAATGGAGTTTCAGATAAACAAGGGGACCACGTTTTAAAAATATAATTATTGGTACCTATCCAAAGAGTTCCTTGTTTGCATCATGAAGGGCAGAAAATATTTGGCAGGCTCAATTAACATTTGACTTGAAAAACGCGAAGAATCATTCCAGCACAAGCAGACAGTGTAGTCCAACCCAAATCAGGATGCAGGGTGACGGCAAATTCTCGTCTTCACGAGTAACTGGGACACCTGAATTTAAAACCCTAGTCTGTAGGGAGCAAACTGCCTTTCTCAATCAGCTTGATCCTGGGAGAAGGGGACTATCCATTAGCAGAGGCAGGACTGTAGAAAAGCCTGAGCCTCCCCTGGGTCTCTCCTCCCTGGTCCTCTCCCCTAAGGGGAGATCATTAATTATTTATATTAAGAAAGGACAGGAAGACTACATTTGCTGACATGACACAGCGGGTTTTTTGCTGTTTCCATTAAAAAGCAGAATTATTAAACAACTAGTGTTGAAATTTTCATATTAATCTTAGTAAACAAATCCCACTGCTCATAATGTTCCCAGTCCTGGTTCCAGCAGTTTCTGGCTTCCAGGGACATCGTTGTCCTCTATAGCAGCAGCTTGGCTCTTAGGTCACGCTTCTGTGCAGTTCGCTTGCAGCTACGAGAGGCACGGTTGATGTACAAATGATGTTCTTTACCTCATCACCTTTAACATTTTCCCCTCGTTATAATGTCATACATTTACTTTGGCCTCTGCATTCATCAAACTCAGATTCTGAAACACTATAGTTATTTCCTGAAGATGTTTCATGCTCTCTCTCAGTAGGCTCATAAATTTGTACAACCTGAGGAAGACCTCAAATTCCAGATCAACTCTCTGGAGAAATGTTGAATGAAAACAATCCAGGAGTGATCTGAAATAAACTGAAAGGCAGCGTGTACCCAGATGTGTGTTATCAATACACAGAGAGGCACGGATTACTCCTTTTATGACAATAACATCGTACTAAAAGGTGTGAAAACAATATATCCCAACAGGCCACAACTATCTTCGAAATAGTCTTCTGCCAGACTAAAGGCCACCTTAACTTAAAAAAAAAAATCCTACAGATCATTTTTAGTAAGTTTCTTCTAAACTTCTACCAGGTAAACACAGCATTTATGTATTTCTTGCCAAGGATAATACGGCCATTAAGTTTGTTCACCTGGTATTTTCATTACAGAAGACATACCTGCAAGGTTGTTGACCAAATTTCTCACACTTGTGATTACTGCAAAATAGGCATTGTATATAAAACACTTTAAGAGCTTTCAGATTAATTCTGAACTAGTTTTCATGATTATTCTCCTAAAAAACCCCACTACTCTTACATATTATGTCCATCTCACACCCCCAACCAGCATACTATGGAACAGCTTACACGTTACGTGTTCATTGGGACCTAATGGGAAGGAGTAGGTTTCAATCTATCAACTAGTCTGTCAAGTCATTTGGCACAAGGGTCCAATGGGAACAATGTAATGTATCTGGGACACAATCCATTCCAAGGACTGCTTTCCTTTACACCTCAAATTCTCAACATCACCTTATGGGACCCCGCTGTCCACATACATAAGCTAATAGTTTAGCTTCAAAGCTTCACTGGTATTGCCACTGATAATTATCTTCACGCCACCTTGTGCGCACATGGAACACTGGCTGGTCACCCCTCCCACACGACTCCACCTCCAACACCTGCAACCTCCCTCTTACCAACCACAAGCAGGACGGCGCAGTCTCCCAGCGCCCTTACTTTCTGACTCTATCGAGGACAT